CCAGCCCGGTCACTGGCGTGAGCCCTGGAAAGGAGAACGGGCGACTAGGCCTCATGAGCAGCAGGCATAGGCTGCCGTCTTGAGTCCCAAAGTCCAGCCCAGGGCAAGCCGCCATCTTCTGGCGGAATTATTGATCGTACCTGAACCAACTCTGACCCTCAAACTTTGATATGCACCCCAGATTAAGTCCAAGTACCCAAACAGCGACGGGGCACGTTCCGGAAAGCATTGGGACAGTATACTTGCAAATATGGCAAATCCCTACAACCAGTTCCCAAATGTCTGTGGGAGTTGCTTACCTCTTTCCCCTTCCTGAGGCTCATCCCGTGGTGGCCTAGCCACCAAATCCGAATCCAAATAATAAAATGTCTTAATTTCTCACACGTTTTAAAATTGTATTCATATAAAATTATGTGTCATATATAAATATTTGATATGAAATGAAAGCCTTGTTTCTCCTGAACAAAATTATATATAATAAGTGTGGGAGCACGTAATATAAAAGAGGTGAATTACGGTTGAACAGGCATATAGCGCAAATTCCAGGTTTTGTTTTGATCAGCACTTGTTCAATAAAATGAATGTGTGTTTTCATTCGGTGTATATTTACTAAATAGTGATTTTAAAAAATATATATTTTTATCTGGGCAGTGGAGTGTCCCTTTAACACATGCAAGAAGTTTTTTTTAACTGCTCTACTAAGTATTTTATGTCTATTAAAGGGACTTGAATCACATAATCTTTTTTTTTTAACTAAGAAAAAAGTATGTTATAAATGTAGTATAAACTTGGTCAGATTGAATTGTTGGGCACCACTCTAAGAGTTTCTTCAGCCTACCCCTCACTTTTACCCATCTATCTTGGTTTCAGACCAATGCACTAATGACAGAAACAGGGAATGATAGTGCAGAAGGATAGAGAAGCCGGACACTGGAGCCTACTCTGTATGAATTATATTGATCAGACTTACTCTCTTTACCCCTGTCCGGATGTTGCAAGGGGAAGAGATCTTTCAACTTCACATTTGTAAATCTGTCAGGTATGCCTAATGCACTTTTTTTTTAATGCACGTTTTTCCCCTGGAGTGGGTGTGGGAAGCAAAAGAAACAAGAAGCAAGCAAACATGAAAAAAAAAAAATCATATTTACTTGCTTTTTTCAGCTTGAAGAGTGAGGCAACTGTCTCATTCTAAGCTAAAGCTTTTGCATGAGACATTTCTCAAAGTTATGCATGCCCCTTTAAAGGGACACTATAGTCACCAGAAAAACTACAGCTTATTGTATTTGTTCTGGTGAGTAGAATCATTACATTCAGGCTTTTTGCTGTAAACACTGTCTTTTCAGAGAAAATGCAGTGTTTAAATTACAGCCTAGTGATAACTTCACTGGCCACTCCTCAGATAGCTGTTAGAGATCCTTCCTGGGTCATGGCTGCCTAAAATGCATCCAAACATTCAGTATCTCCTCCCTCTGCATGCAGATACTGAACTTTCCTCGTAGAGATTCATTGATTCAATTCATCTCTATGAGGAGATGCTGATTGGCCAGGGCTGTGTTTGAATTGTGCTGGCTCTGCCCCTGATCTTCCTCTTTGTCAGTCTCAGCCAATCCTATGGAGAAGCACTGTGATTGGCTCAGGCTACCACTTCTGATGATGTCAGCAGGCAGCTTGTTTTTTTTCTGAGTCTAACAGCATGCAGATCTACAGCTTCAGGCTTGAATACAGTAAGACTGTGCTATATTTATAGAGGCATGAGGGGCCCAGGGGGGCTAGATGGTGGTTTTAACTTTATAGGGTCAGGAATACATGTTTGTTTTCCTGGCCCTATAGTGATCCTTTTAAGTATAGTTAATTTTATATTGTATGTGGCTTGGTTTGATTTATTTGTTGTTGTGTTTTTTATGGGGCGGTGGTGGGGAGGGGCAAACCATTTAACTTACAGCTTAGACCTCCCTTATTGCTTGTGTTATTATGTGTTGCATTGTGGAATTGATCTGAAATGGTAAACTATAGCTCCTTACAGTGTGTGGTACACTTATAGTACTTTTCCCTATCATAGTGTATGCTGTGTAACATGGGCTCTGCCTCTAACCTGTAAAGTTTCTGAATTTCAAAAGCTGACCTTGAACTTTCCCTTTTTTTTACACCTGAATCAAGTCTTCTATTGACTTAGATAACCTAACAAAAACATAAATAAATACAGGCAATGCATGCAGTTGCTAGAAGCCATGTCTATTGTCTGAGCTGCACTCAAATCAAGGGGTACTACTCCTTGAAAAAAGATGCTGCTATCTGTTAACAACTGTGCTGACATGAAACAGTCTTTCAAAAATGAATTTTTAATGTTATGCTATCTTGGAAACAAAAAGTATATGCAGAATTATATAGCATTACACATTCGGACTTATGTATTGCTTTCTCAGATCATAAGGTTACAGATTCTGAAAGCAATTTTTCTTTCTAAATGTGGATCTTTCACGTCATCACTTCTCCAATTCAGATATTTGCTGAAAGCAGCTAATTTCTAGAATCCAAACCAAATCAATACTCTCCTCTGAAAACAAGTCTAGGGTAACCTTCAGTTCAACTGTTGACCTTGCACTGAATGGTACATTGGATCTTTTTGTAGATCAGGGGCTCCCAATTAATTTTATCCATTGTACCCTTTGACATAGTGTACTAACATTGTAGAACTTCAAAAAATGCACCCTACACAAAGGAGCCTTGTTAACATTCAAATAATGTCAACTAAAAGTGTGTGTGTGGTCCACCACCAGACCAAGGGGTTTGAGTCCTTCTAATTCACTAAGAAAAGCAAAGAAAATGTGGTTTGAATTTCACATCAATTACACTGTTAATATTGCATGTCTATGTAACAAAACGTTAATGCAGTATAGACTAACAAAAAAACAATCTACACCAAGATGGTTAAAAGTGAAGACCCACCCTATTAAAGATGGTTACAAATAGACCGATATATACACAAAATGGTTCTAATAGAACCCAACCTATAAAAGGTGGTTAAACATAACAAGACACAGTCTATAAATTACAAATAGCGGTTACAAATAGTATAATCCTGTGGATGATATAAATATTATTTGAAACCCACTAATAATCTGAAATCTAGCCTACAAAGAAGGCCGTTACAAGTGTTTTAATACTCTAAAGTCCAGCCTATACAAAGGGGATGGTTACCCTCAGTAAACACAGACTGAAAATACATGTAAAACAACAGCAAAATAGAAATTAATCACAAACATTAACAAAACCCACAGAACAGAACTTTCATTGAAATGGTCTCAACATTTATTTCTTTCTGGAATAAAGGGTAAGATTTTAATATATTTAGAGGGGAGGTGGATCAGATTGTGTTTTTACCTCCATAGGGTAGGGAATACGTGTTAGTGTTCCTGACCCTATAGTGTTCCTTTAACTTCAAAAACCATCAGAAATATATGTGTTTGTACTTGCAGCACGTACCCCTAAACATTTTGGCATGTCTAATTAAATTAGATGTTTTTAAACTACCCTAAGCAACATTTAATTTTACCTTTTAATCATCTCAATAAAATATTGGAAATATGCTAGTGAACAGGGCTTTTAAAAAAAAAAAAAAAAAAAAGCTAAAGTGGCTTTTAACCCCTTAAGGACCAAACTTCTGGAATAAAAGGGAATCATGACATGTCACACATGTCATGTGTCCTTAAGGGGTTGGATCAGTCCCTCCTTTTGTTGGGCACACCTCCCCCGCCAATCCCTTAGGATTCAACAGAGCCAGAGTGACTCCTAGGGGAATGGAATTGCATTGGAAGGGAATGAGAGTGGAGTTATCAGCAACTTAACTGGTTTTACTTGGTTTGGCCATATGCTCTGAGGACACCATTATTGCCTAAAGGTAGATATACTTCCATAAAGATGTATGGAGCCCTCCATATTAGAACACTTGACTTCATTGTCATACAGTTGGCTGTCAAACCGACGCTGGTTCGCCAGTTGTCCTTCTTTGCACCATTTTTGGCAAGTACTAACCACTGCATACCAGGAACACTCCACAAGATTTGCGGTTTTAGAAATGCTCTGACCCAGTCATCTAGCCATCACTATTTGGCTCCTGCCAAAGTCACTCAGATGTTCTTACATAACTCATCTTAGGCTTTTATACAAATGCACTAATAAAATAATGGATTTGTGAAACTTTTGAAGAGGTCTGTCATTAAAATTACTTCATTAGTATGGACCTTAAAGGGACATTATAGGCGCACAGACCACTTCAGCTCATTCAGGTGGTCTGGGTGGGTGCAATGTCCCTGTCCTCTTAACCCTGCAATGTTAATTACTGCAGTTTCTGAGAAACCGCAATAATTACATTGCAGGGTTAAGGCTGCTTCTATTGACTGTTAGACAGCAACTAAACACACTTCCGATGCGACTTTTGGTTGCCTGACGCTGGACATCCTCACACTCTACACAAGGACATCCAGGGTCAGTAAAAACCCTATAGAAAAGCAATGCAGCATGCATAAGCCCCCTATCCTGTCAGGTGACATCGGAGCTGGAATTGGGTAAATACCATTTATTAACCATTACACTACCGAGGAGAATAGCCGCAAGGGAGGGCTGGTCCAGAGGGAGGTATAACGCTAGGAATACAGATTTGTATTTCTACTTCTATAGTATCCCTCTAAGAAAAATGAGTAGAATCCCTACTGAGCAATAACTCAATGAACTTTAGATATTTAAGGTTAGAGTAGATGTGACATTCATGAGTTTGGCCTGTTCTTTCTGGTACAGCAGACTTTTTTTTTTTTTTATATTAGCCTCTTGGACACTTATGATGAGACCACAAACTCATGCTGTAATTGTTCCACTCTGAGATTGTGTCCCATCTTATTGTGTGATAAATGTAAAACACGAATCCTTACTGGACTTTTCAACACACTGCAACCATCATCTAGTATGTGTTAGCACTACAAGAGAATAATGATCTGCGCCCAGCCTTTGAAGACTTTGCCAATGTATTGAAATAAACTTTATTGTTTGAAACAAATACAGGGCATAAGTTATTGTGGTTACAAAGATTCAAAATGTTCCTGAATGCCAACAGACCCTAATCATCAGGGGTCTCCCTGTGTCCATAATCGATAAGGTTTTTATCAAGTGTTTCATAGTAATACCAAGGACCATCTCCTCTCTGTCTCATCAAGCGACGTGCTTCTGTTTGTTTCAACCTGTTGAAAAAGTTTAATACATATAATTATATCAGAAAAATAGCTAGTAAATTTTTCCAAAAATATAGTTAAACAGGGTATATTTATGGATATTTCATGGATTAACAACTGAACCTCTACAATCTGCTTGTCAGGAGTTTGGCTTATGATAATTTACTAATTAGGCGGGTGGACAAGTTATCAGTATAATAACTCAGAGCAGGTTGTATCTCCAATGCATTTGTCCATTTAAAGGGACCATCTTGGTACCAAAATTACTACATTTTAATGTGCATAGATGCGGTTTGCAAAATGTAAAACGCCGTTTCTGAGAAATGGCAATGTTTACATTTCTCCAAGTGTATGTCACTTGTGGCTGCCAGGGAGACACCCACTAGAGGCACATCCTCCTAAAGTCTTCACGTTACAGCATGACATAGCCTGGTGATGCTGACAGCAGCTAAAATTTGCACTAAATTTGATGTTTTAAATATGAGAAGCATTGTTCAGTTCTTTTCTAGAAGGCACATTAGATTGGATCAGATGACCTCTAGTGAGTAGTATCCTTTGCTAGAAGCAAGTCATAGCAGTGGATTATAAGTAAGTTTCTCTGCCCAAATAACACTGGTCGAGCTACTTTTAATTCACAACCTGGCTGCAGACAGTCAAATAAACCATTAATTGGTAGTGACATCTTTAATATTTCTTCCTAGGTGTCCTTCTAATGCAGGTGGTTTTTAGTTTAGATCATTCAGTGCTATCAGAGGCATATCTGTGTGCATACATTTGATAATGAAGTTTATTTCTAGAGTAATGGGGCATAACTAGATAGGTATTATGGCATAGCAGTCTGCAAGTCATTTTTATGAAAAAACTATAAAGCTTTTAAACATTACAATAAAATATTGCACATAAGGGGTGATTTTTTTTTTTAAAAGGGACACTCTAAGCTCCAAAACAACCTTAGCTTAATGAAGCAGTTTTGTTGTATAGATCATGCCCCTACAGTCTTGCTGCTCAATTATCTGCCATTTAGGAGTTAAATTACTTTGTAAATGCAGCCCTAGTTACACCTCCCCTGGCTGAGACTAACTCAGCCACCAAACACACTTCCTGAAAAAAAAAAAGCTGTCGTTTTTAGCTTCCCTATATGAAAAAAATTGTTTGAATTAGAATTTCTTATATTCTGCTCTGTTAATAGCCTGCAGCAGACTCATGTGTGTGATTAAAGTTCAATTAACATAGCATAAGATAAGAATAATAAGTGCTATTCTGGGGCAAATTGCAAAATAGACAGGTTCTTTTTTACCGTAGATCTGCTTTCTCTGCCTCAGTATGTATTAAAGCCATCATTTTTTCATAGGAGCATTCAGGAGATTCAGTAATATGGTGGGCAATCCATCGAGTTATTGGATGCTGAAAGAAAAAAATAGGAAGCTTTAGACAGAGATAAAGTGACCTCCCAAATACATGACCACCAAGGCCAGTTCACAAAATCTGGTTGAAAACTCCTGGTTGAGACTCTCACAGCATTAATTATTCTTCTACTTTTGTTTTTAGATACTTAGACTCTCCACTCTCTGTTTAACCCTATTCCTCCCATCCTGCTTTCCCTCACATGGACTCAGGAATACACCGTCTCTGTTCTCCTATCATCCTTCCATTTCAAAGTCTGTGCCTGGGAAAGAGGCTTCCTGTGTAAAGGCTGCAGGCAGCAGGTCTACACCCAAAGAAAACATGTATGTTTTCTTTTTGGGTATAGCTACTAAAGTGTTAAAGTTAAGTGGCATACGCCAATGATTAGCACCATCATTTTGAACAATAGTTGTACCACAATTCCACTCTCCCTTTTATTCTACTTATTTTAAGACCACAGTGGCCTTGTTGCCACCCCTCCACCCCCCATCCATTTCCTTCCTAGCCTTTAACATTTCTCCCACCTGCACTCCTGGTATTTTAATTGTGCTTAGTTCATCACACGTCTTGATCTGATATTTTAAGAGGATCCTGTGCACTCCTTTAACCCCTTAAGGAACAAACTTCTGGAATAGAAGGGAATCATTACATGTCACACATGTCATGTGTCCTTAAGGGGTTAAAGTACAGTCAAAATAGAGTACAATATTTTAATTTGTCTTTGATTTCCTTCTAGGAGTGATTTATTTCCTTTCTCCCTACCTGCTGTATCATTCTGTTTATTGAAAAATCAATATTAAGAAGAAGAAGAAGAAGAAGAAGAAGAAGAAGAAGAAGAAGAAAAAAAAAAAAAAAAAGTAGCAGGATCTACCTGGTAATATTCCCAGTGATCTGGAGTATAACCTTCAGGAATTTCTGCAAGTTCTGCTTCGCCTGTTAAGATACCATGTAAAGTATGTAAACTGGACAATATGTCAAAGAATAAAAAGAAAACTGCATGATTAAAGAGCCCACAAAGACAAATAAGGGAAAATAACAGAAGAGTCACATACGCAAGTACACAAACTAATGTCAAAATAATCCCATTTTGTCAAAGCATTTTTGTCATTTTACACATAAATTACCTTTTATTTTTTTATCTCCACATATTTAATTTGTGTGACAAGATCAGTAATATTTTTTCTAATCTTTAATATTTAATAACTTGCATTACTGTGCAGACTTCGTTATGTAAACAAAACAAAAAAAAGTGTTTTTCTGGGGGCAAAGAAATAAATGTTGAGACCATTTCAATGAAAGTGGTCTGGGTGACTTCAGTGTCCCTTTAATACAGAGGCACGTTCTTTACCAAAACAAAACCTAGAATTTTTGCTATATATGTTTCTTTAACCATAATTTTCCTCTTTCATATTAAGTGCCCCTCTCTCATATATAATTTTGTTCAGAGGAAAATAATTATATATAAAGCAATTTAAGATGAATGAAATCTAAGAGCGTGTGAAATATTACGCAATGCTTTTATTTTCCAAGTTCTGCATGGCATTTAAACTGTGAATGTCAATACTGTTGGCTTTTACTGCAATACAGACACAGGCTGTGATATCCCACAAGTACAAAGATGCCCTCCATGTTCAGGTTTTATGGAGTTTTGCAAAGTTACAGGGTCAAATATAAGCCTGGGAAATTAAACTCTCTAGCATTCTGCTGGGCTGTTATAAATTATAGTATTATATATTTCAAAATCAATTCACTGCGATTACACAAATAACTCTTTTAGGCTGGATTGGCTGCAAGGGGAAGGGCCTGGGTTGACAGGCAGGTAACACAATAATGATTGGTACAATGGGTAAGTGTTCAGGCTGCAAGGAGAGTCAGATCGTTACTGCGTGCTACACCACCTTACTGTCAGTATAGCACACCCTATTGGCAGGAAGGATTAAAGGGCACCGCAGGACCTTCTAGAGTCCCTCTCCCTCCCACCCCAAGTTGCTGAAGGGGTTAAAACCCCTTCAGTTACTTACCGGAAACCAGCGCTGGGTCAGCCTCCGCCCATGCTCCTCCCCCGCTGACGTCACTCAGCAGGGGAGACCTAATGCGCATGCGCGGCAATGGCTGCGCGCGCATTAGACCTCCCCATAGGAAAGCATTATACAATTATACAATGCTTTCCTATGGGGATTTCGGCGACGCTGGAGGTCCTCACAAAGTATGAGGACGTCCAGTGTGGTTTTAAAACTTTTCGTGTTCTATGAACACGGAGGTCCCTCTAGTGGCTGTCTGGTAGACAGCCACTAGAGGATGACTTAACCCTGCAAGTGTAATTATTGCAGTTTTCATAAACTGCAATATTTACTTTGCAGGGTTAAGGGTAGTGGGAGTTGGCACCCAGACCACTCCAATGGGCAGAAGTGGTCTGGGTGTCTGGAGTATCCCTTTAAGCACTCGGCAGTATTGACATGAAGCCATAATTACCAAGGTAAACACAGGTGCAATTCTTGGCAAATTGCTGCCACCTGCTGGTAGCATTCATTAGCAACTACTGGATGCTTGAAGAGCTTGTTATATTTGCCCAAAGCATTTTAAAAGAAAGAGGGTATAAATATTTTAAAGTGAGTCTCTGTCTAACTCTCTGAAGCAAAGACTTGTGAGAATTATCAGAATCCCTAGCTTCTACATGAAAGTAAACAATCAGAAGGATTTACAAAATACTCACCGATGAAAATATTGACAAAGGTTACAAATGCTGCTGCGGGTACTGCTGTTAGTAAAATATAAAATCTCTGGGGGAGAAAAAAAAAAAAAAAAAGTCAATGAAATCTATAATAAATTGTTCCCAAATTATATTATGTAATCATTTAAACAGTGCTTATCTAAATGTGTTTAATGCTGATTGAATATTGAATAAAATAAACGAGAAATCAAAACAAACAGCAATCAGTAATTCAGTACAACATAAATATGACAGATTATTACTGCTGTCTGAACGTGACCAGAATAATATGGAAGGAGGCAAGATAAAGTCCAAATCCTATACTTTGAATGGCCGTCGAATATTTATTCCATACACTATTGTCTGAATTGCCTCTAATCTGGCACAGCTAGAAGCTCATTCATTTTGAATTCAATCACACCATAGGCAGCAATGTTATGAGATTGACAAAGCAAGGGACATGTGGTCTATTAGTGGTGGAAATACATTTTGGCTACACATGCTATTTATATATTTGTATTGTATTTACTCTCCTAATGCAGCTGCACAATAATAAATCCTGCACCAGCCATCAAAATGATTTCCTCCTCACTCAAATCCAATAGTTAAGCTACAGGTTACACAATATTTTAACATCACTGTCAATCATAAAGATACATAAAAAACATTTTAAAACTTTGGCTTACATTATACACAAGATTCTTAATATGTGTTGTAATTATTATTTTATGTCATTATGTTGTGCAATTCTTCTGGAATTGGAAAATGCAATTAAAGTAATTTGCTGAATTATGAGAAAAAAAAAAAAAAAAGATGCCTAAGTACTACTGCACACTCATGGTATCATGGGGGAAATGGATGAGTATCCATACGTGCTGTGGTGTATTCAAAGAACATTTATATATACCGGAAATCTTTAACATACAACATAAAGCTCCAAAACTTTTCCAACCAATAATGGCATTAATCTAATCTACAGAACACAAAATGATGAACATACAACAAAGAGTTGCACATCATCACAAATGAAAATCTAAATAAAGAATACACTTGGGTGTATGTTTTTCTTACCATTAAACGCATGAACCTCCTATCATAGAAATGGGATGGCTCCACTACAAACAGTTTCTTCCCATGGCTGCCAAATCGCACAGGCACTACATTTAAAAAAATAAAATAAAAAATTATATTATATTATATATATATACAAAGTTACACACAATGTCAGCAGGACAAAAACAGCACAAAGAACAACATTGGCTAATACCATCTGCTGTAAATAAAGCTATACTTGTACAGCCTTATATTCATAAATGAAAAACAAATCTATAAACTCATCTGCTTTTACCAATTATAGCAATGTTAACTAAAAAGAATGTTTTTTACAGAAATTGCATTCATATCCTGCCACAAGAGTTCGAAGAGCTATAGATCACGCATATGCTCAGGTACGCATGAGTGCCTGGCATTATCATGATGAGTAAGCTATCCTGCAGAGCGCCAAATGTTTACTTTCTTTTGCTAAACTATACACCTCACTCAAAGTGTCCCTGCGCCATTAAACTTGCAATCTAAAAAATTCCAGTTTCAGAGAAACTGCAATATTTACATTGCAGGGTTAAGACAGCCACTAGAGGCACTTTGTGCAGCTTCACAGAGGGAAAGCATTGATTCAAGGCCTAACGCACACATTGTGCTCACTGTGTATGCACATTAACGTTCCCCCTCTGCGCTTATGATAATAAAAAAAAGTAAATTTTCTGGTGCAGCTGATAAAGTTCTCTGAAGAATAAAAAATATTGGGTGCTTATTTCCAGATTTTTAACATCCTCCTGCACGATAATAGATACAATACCCGGGCGACCATTAAAAAATAAAAAATGAAAATGAAATAAGTTGCTATACTATTAACATGAGTTTGTTAAACTAACAGAACAAATACCCATTAAGGTCTATGATAGAGGACGTGACTAAATATAGTTGTTTGCTAAAGTGCAAGTACAGGCTTTCAACGTTAAAAGCAATTTTAATGTTATTCTCTAAAAAGCATGTACTGTCGGGAATTCAAACTTTTAGGCCATAACAACCAAAACTGGAAAAACTCCCCAAGTCAGCTATGTTTCCATTTGGCTATTTTGGTCTAGCATATGAAATGTACTTTAAATTCCAGGCGATACACTTGATTGTCTGTCAATTTGTTCTACTTTCTGAGACATGCAGGTTTAATGCCAAGACTGTAGTTTAGTAGATTTGACCCAATGAGCACAAAAAAGGGAAATGAGACAACTATATTGAATGACCTTTTATTAAAATATGACAAACATGTATCCATGAAGTTTGTATATATTTTCATATTCATAAGCTGAGCAGTATGGGGTGAGCCATTCATCCAGACTTTAACAGACTTACAAGTTTAAATGAGTCTCGATGCTGCACAATAGTTTCTTTATCTGGGTGGTACGTCGTCGTGGGTAAAGGTGCGGATATATTTGTAATTTAATCCTGTGTATGTGGATATTGAGGAATCCTTCCAATAAAATTAAGCAGAGCACCTGATGTGTTGTTAGATCTGTGCTGGAATTTTCCAGTTTTCCTCCTTCGGTGTCTCTTCAGTTTGCTCTCTGTGATACCGGACGACTGCAGTACATGTGCCCGTTGGTCCAAGATTATACAGGGAAGGGCAATCGCTCCTATGTGTTCCTCACGAAGAGCACAAACTGGAGAGACCCTGAAAACTGGAAACATCTAGCACAGATCTAACACCACATTAGTTCATACTTTACAACTATATTACACTGATAGCGCGCTCATTAAAAACCCTAAATAGTATTACTATTGGGGTTTTTCTAATATACATTAATCCTAAAACTGTGAATTATTGTGAATTCATAGCAGATTTAATAGTTTGGACCAAAATAACTTAAATTAAAACTTAGCTGTCTTGGCTATTTTTTTTTTCCAGTTATCCACTTTGACCTCAAAATATAAATTAATTTTGATTACCCGACAAATCACACTTTAGTGCATGGCTGCACAGATGTTGTAGAACTACAACTCCCATAATGCTCTGCCCTGTCCATTCTAAAAGGCATGCAAAGCATCATGGGAGTTGTAGTTTCACAACATCTGGGGGATCTGTCATTATCTGGATACATTGTATTGGGGGGACAACATCAACGTCCAACGCAACCTGCACTTACTGCAGCAAAGCCCTTGGATGACCTGTCACTGTATTTTAACCGTGTATTAGGTACATGAATGTGATAAGAAATACAATAAATTAAACACCAAAGTGTAACATTTAAAGTAGCCCAATATAGTTGTGATTACAATGGAGTTTGAAAATGTTTCCAAAATCGGCTATTTTGGCCTCAAACTTGAAATTCACTTTGAATTCTGACAATTTACACTTAAATAAAATATCCAGGCAGGATACCTGAGTATCTGTGCTATAATAATAATAATAATAGAGGTATGCCCGCCGCCTATGAAGGTCACTGCGCCCTGCCCCAGCCAGCTGCCCCTGTCCTGCCCGTATTCTGCCCCCTCCCGGGGTCTTACCGTTCCCGGCCTGGGGTAGTTTCCCGAGCAGGCTGTTCCCTGCCAGCAGCCCCCGGGACGGCAGACGGAGGCGGCTGAAGAGAGCTGCCGCTGGCCTCAGTAGGCTCATCCCCGCCATGTTCACTAAGGGCGAAGCGGGGGATTGTGGGTAAATGCACCAAGGCAATGAAGCCGCCTCCGCCTTGTTTAGTGAGGGCAACCTTGTTACCCAAACTGGTCGGCTGTCCTGATATACACATTACTATACAGAAGATATGTGCCAATCCTGCTGGAATAACAATGTGCGCGTGTTTTTATTCTTCTTATTATTTATTATTACTAGTGCATGTTATGTGAAACTGACAGCGCCTGGCAGGCAGCACATAGGGATTCTACCGGGAGAGGTGCATTGTGGGTGTTTGCAAGATGGCGGCCAGAGTGAGCATGCTGGTGTCAGGCTGCAGGCAGCTGTGGATGTCGCGGTCACTGCAGCCCCCAGGCAGGATCCCCGGGGGTCTCTCTGGGTATGTGCACTCTGTCACACTGTGAGGAGGAGCTGGGACTGGCATTGCTCACCCCCTGAAAGGGTGACACTGACAGTATGCTCTACCTGTCTACCATGGGCACACTGTTATTATTATTTATTATTTATATAGCGCCAGCAAATTCCGTAGCGCTGTGCAGTGTCTCACTGTACATGTAAATATCGTGTAACTGTCAATGTCAGTGTGTTGTAACAATTTATATATTGCATGAGCAAGTGTTACACTTTAATAGAAATCTAAAGAATTTGGGGATTTTGTATTATTTAGCTCATTGTATCAGCAGTAAATAATTGTTTCAGTTTAAAAGTCACCCTAAGTTATGGGTCGGCAACCTATGGCATGCAAGGCTGACATTAGCCAGCCCAGAACTTAATAACAGGCAACGTGACCCCTTTCAAATCACTGATGTGGTTATGGTGCGTGACCATTTAAAGAAGCCGTCTACACACCATTCTTATTTCTGTGCAATGTAGTGGTTATAGTGCTGTCCCACAGTAGGAAGTCAAACCATTTTCAAACAATTTGATTCTTCCCCTGGGTGCTTCTGGTCTGGCTGCCACTTCTGAGGTCACTAATGCATAAGACACTAGTGATGCTAAAGGGACACCTTAGGCACCATCACTGCTTAATCTCCTTAAATTGTTTATTTTATCAATATTCCCCTGGTTGTGTCCTTTCATTCAGCATTAAACCTTTTTTAAAGGGTTACCCCAACTACCATAACCACTTAACTGTTTTGAAGAGATCATGGTGGTAGGAGTTTGTATGCAAAGTGTTTCTGCTTTTCATGGCTAGGGGCTAGTTGCAGCACACACACACCCACCACCACTCCCTTACCCCCCTAACGTGTCCCTTTCATTCTGCCTATTTTTGGATGGAATTAATTCGCTTACATTGTCAGTTGATGCCCTCAGCCAATGAATTCTACAAAATTGATATATCTAATGCAGATTTGAAACTTGTTCTTTAGATATATAAAAGAACATTAGAGCAACACTCTAAGTACCATAAATACTACAGCTTTAATGTAGCAATAAATGCACAGGGATAGTGTTGCCCTCTTTTATTTGCTAAACATTTTGACTGTAAAAAGCATCTAAACTTGCATGTAATTCAGCACCTGGACAGTCTGCTGGTAGCATCCATCCTTCCCACGAAGAGATCATCAGGATTGATGATCTATGGAGCTATTCAAGGCTTCTTCTCATAGAGAAACATTGTGGATGCAAATATTGCGTATCACTAGCGCACTGAGTCTAAGAGACATGGAATCAGAGATTCTTGATGAGAAGTATTAGCAGAGTTCAGTATCATCATGCTATGTAGACTTAAGAAAATTGAAGGTTGTAAAGAGTAAACCTTGCCATTCGTGAAATGTTTTACATTGTCCAAGTAGAGGGACAGTAGTGTCTCTGCACCAAAACCTATTGTTTTTGTTGCTTAGAGTGATCGTTTAGTAATATATATTTCTATCTTCTTCAAACGATTGTATTACATATTTGCAAATGTTAGTAATTGATCTTTAAGAATAGCTACATTGGGAAATTTTTCATTTGGCTAGAATTTTTTCAATATTGTCAGATTTTCACATTTTCATTTGCTATAAAATAGATGTAAAATGATTCAACTATGCTTTAATCTGAGCTTTACCACATTATTGTCAGCTTGCCATTAGCATAGTAGTAAAGAGTGCAAACAACCCACCTCCAATGATGTACAGGCTTCTCACACCCATGCCACGCTCTATAATTGTTGGATGCCAGTTACGTTATTTGGAGGTCAATGTGGTTAAGTTCACGTCTTCCATTTAGGAACTCAATCGTTAATGAAAAGGAGAAACATTAGGTAAATATTTGTTTTAATCTATACACGTATTGGTGTTTTCACCACTGTAGTGTTTAAACTGAATATAGACCTTAGCCAGGGCACAAAATATATACCAGCCATTGGCAAGAGAAAGTCAGCCCTTTTGAGTAGAAATTATCCCTTGGTGAGTGTGCTATGGACCATCCAGGCTTTCAATGGCAAATAAGTTTTACGCCTGTCTCATAGTGTAAGAGTGGAACTTTTATTTCCTGCATAAATGAATGTAAACCTGATATCTGTATTGCTCATGAATGACAGGTTCAGTTAAATACTGTTATGGGAATAGTAGAGCACATAAGTGAGATTAGATTCCAGTGATTACCTATGCCTGTAGTGAAGTTTTATTATGCACATGTAATCAGGGCCGGTGCTAGGATTTTTGACTACACAGGCGAAGATGCATTTTGACGCCCCCCCCCAAAAAAAATAAATAAACAATGCATCTTCACCTCTGTGTCTCGTAGCCCCCTTTTGAATTTCTTACCCCCATTAGTGTTGCATATCCACTCTCTTGAATGTCTTACCCCTTTGTGCCTTACACCCCCCTTTAGTGTGTCTCCTACAACCCCTCTTATGTATTTCTTACTTCCCCGCCAGCCCCTATCTATCTCTCTTTTTCTCCCACATAGACATAGATACAGGCTAAAATACATACATGCACAAATACACAAACATACAGACACACAACCATACAAGCACACAGAAATAATTTTTCAGGCACACAGTCACAAAGATATACAGACACACAGTCATAAAAGGCACACAAACAAACACAGACATACATTCATACAGACACAGGCATTCACAGAAATACATACACAGACATAAAGAAACAGAGATAGGCATACAGAGACATACATACACAGACAAACAAAGAACCCTGCACACTGACACCGTGTAAATGCTCCGGCCATCAACAGAGGTGGATGCTCCATGTCAGGCAGACATTGCTGGATCCACCAGTAAAGTCTTCAAAAGGAATAAACACAGGCAACACTCCAATAGTAAGGATGGTATATTTATTGGTAGGTGAACCACCCCATAGAAAGTGTGATGTTTCAGCTCATGCAATAAGGCTCTGCTGAGCCGAAACGACGCACTTTATACCATCCTTACTATTGGAGTGTTGCCTGCGTTTATTCCTTTTGAATACATTTACACAGTCATACAGAGACATACATACTGTATGTCTCTGTATGACGGTCTGTGTATGTACACAGGATGGCTAAAAGATAGATCCCCATCTGTCGTGCAACTTCAACAATGCGTTGAAAGCTGGGGCTCTACCGATTCCCCATTCTTGCAGGATTGTATTTAACATGGAGCAGTATTTGTGTGTTTGACTGTAAGCATGTGTTTGTATGGAGTATGTTTGTATGATTGTAGCGGTGTGTTTGTATGTAGTGTTTGCATTTGAATGCAAGCATGCATTTATGTGTAGTGTTGGTTTTTGAACGCAGGTGTGTGTTTATATATAATTTTGGTGTCTGATACAGAGGTGTGTTTGTATGTAGTGTTGACATTTGAATGCAAGGGTGTGTTTGTATGTAGTGTTGACGTTTGCATGTAGGTGTTTATTTGTGTGTAGTGTTGTGTTTGAATGCTGAGATATATGCACATATACACATACACTGCCACACACGCACACACTGTGATACACATACACAAAGATACACACACTGACACATGCAGATATACATATACACAAACTGATACACATTCAGATAGACACACAGGTACACAAAAACACTGACAGACATACAGATAAACACACAGTGACATACAGACACACATACACAATGATAGGGAAGAAGACACACAAAGACACACTAACAGACAGACACACACACTAACAGACATTTAGATACACACAGACACATGGACAGAGACATATACATACACACACTGACAGACATGGATGCACACACACACACTGACAGACATAGATACACACACACACACACTGACAGACATACACACACACACACTGACAGAGATAGATACACACACACACTGACAGACATACACACACACACTGACAGACATAGATACACACACACACTGACGAGACACACACACAGACAGACCTTGGAGACACACTGACAGACATAGATACACACACACACACTGACAGACATAGATACACACACACACACACACACTGACAGACATATACACAAACACACACTGACAGACATAGATACACACAGACACACTGACAGACATATACACACACACACACTGACAGACATAGATACACACAGACACACTGACAGACATACACACACACACACACACTGACATACATAGATACACACACACACTGACAGACATATACACACACACACACTGACAGACATAGATACACACAGACACACTGACAGACATACACACACACACACTGACAGACATAGATACACACAGACACACTGACAGACATACACACACACACACACTGACAGACATACACACACACACACACACACAGACAGACATAGATACACACACACTGACAGACATATACACACACACACACTGACAGACATAGATACACACACACACTGACAGTTATATACACACACACACACACTGACAGACATGGATACACACACACACTGACAGACATGGATACACACACACACACACACTGACAGACATGGATACACACAGACACACTGACCAACAGGTTCAGGAGGGGGGCTTACCTGGGATCCAAAGTGCTGCCTGAGGTAGTTGGGAGTTGGAGGAGCTGGTCCTGCCCAGCCCCCCTCCTCTCTGCCTTCTGCTGCCCTAGTCTTGTTGGGAGGACTTCCTCCCATGCTGAATAGAAGGGGACGGTGGTAGCTCCGCCCCTGCTGGGCACCAGCCGCGCTGTGTGCTACAGAGGGAGCAGGGATATGACGTTCATATCCCCGCCCCCTCCACACAGTCCGCGGCACTGCAGGTTGGCGCTCGGCCACGCTACAAGAAGTGACCGGCAGGAGAGGGGAGCTGTGCGCTTCTCTCCTGCCGGCCACCCGGACATTTGCGCCCCCGGGCCGGTGCGCCCTAAGGCGGCCGCCTGTGCCGCCTTATGGACGCGCCGGCCCTGCATGTAATATTCAGTGTACTTTTTTTGTAAAACTAAATCTGACTGCATGTTACTTTAAGCAGAATGGGGTGGACATTTTTATGATACAGTATCTGTTATAAGCCAATTTGTTGAGGGATAACTAAAAATTGCTAATGTGCCCATGTATACTATATATATTTATTTTTTGCTGTGCATGCGTATAGAGGTAAGCTTGCAATGCCACAACAGCAATAGTAAACAGTATTGAATATTACGTCCAGAAATATAGTAGTATTGCATTTGCTATCAAAGCGCATTTTTAGAAAAAGAAAGTCAGATGTATACTGTTTTTATTTTTGTTATTACAGTATATTTTTTCATGCCGTGAGGAAAAGCACATCAGAAAGTCCTGCTTTGCAACAAGATGCATCGATTCCTTTATCTTCAGTTTGTAGTGGACTTCAAGAGTTCTTTGATGACCCCAAGAACTGGGGAGAAACAGTAAAGTCTGGTTAGTTTTCTTTTATATTGCTTCAAATTTTAAAGTTATTCAGGTAAATGGATTGTACTGTTTAGAGGGAGGTGAGACTTGGCATTCACAGGGTGGGTTCTCTTGCTAATCCATCACTATTAAGATAATTTTATGCCAGTTTCGGAAATCCTCTGATTTTGGCAATGTACTTATACCTGGGCCTTCGGTCTATGACCAGACTGCCAGACGGCAAGGTGGGCTGACGGCAGGGCGGGCTTAAGATCGCACTCCCGCGATCTCTGCTGTTTTCGAACTTCCGGGAAAAGCAGGTAGTGGCAGCCATCTTGGATGTGGCAAAATGCCGCATAACCCCAATTTTGTTCTCGCGGAACACCAATTGGGAAATGCTGCACTATAGCATAAGCAATCCAAACATGTATTCCTAACTCTGCAATTGTAATATGCCTGTTTAGGTTACCTGTGAGGGTGGGAAAGACGAGTTACTTACCTTTCAGCCCTCGCTGGACTGTTCTCCATCCTGACACTCTGCCTCATTGGCTGAGATCATCAAGATTAATCATCTCAGCTAATCCAATGTTTCCCCATATGGAAACATAGGGATGCTATTTCACATGCGCAAATGCAGAGCTGTGCCAATCAATATTCTCTAGGAGAGTCATTTTGAGCTATAACAGAGTTTAACTCTGTAATAGAAGCATTGCAGTTTCTAAATGTATTTCTGCAGCTGTAATTAGTATTCTTGTTCTTGTATATTGTGTTAAACATAATATTTTTAATATTTTAGGTGATGCATGGACTATTAAACAGCTGAGAGGCAAAAGCGATGAAGATTTACACAAACTCTGGTATGTATGGAAATCTGTACCAGGCTACAACTGAGTAAGGGTTGGTTGATATTATTAACTGAAAACTATAGTGCCAGGAAAGTAAAGTTGTTTTTCTGGGAATATAACTCAGAGTTAAAAACCCCTTCTGTCATTAACCTGATTCCAGCACTGATGTCCCACAGCGCTGGTTCGGGCTCCGCCTCTGTTTCTCCACTGCCGACGTCAGCCAGTGGCCTCGCTCGCATTAGTAATTCCCCAATAGGAAAGCATGTATCATGCTTTCCTAAGGGGTTTTACATGACGCTGGATGTTCTCGGGCATAATGCAAGGACGCCCAGCGTCAGGCGACCAGTAGTCCCTCTAGTGGCTGTGTGTTAGACAGCCAATAAAGGTGGAGTTAACCCTCAAAGGTAATTATTGTGGATTAAAAACTGCTATAGCTACCTTTGCAGAGTTAAGGGACCTTGTACAATGAGCTGAAGTGGTCTGGGTGCTTATAGTATCCCTTTAAGAGTGACAGTTTGCATTAAAGTAATAGGGAAATTCAGCGCTTGGGGATAGCCACAACTTGGTAGCTATAACATCTGCTGCCAAGTCATGGCTTTCACTGGAAAACACAGATGCCTCTTCAGCAATGTATAAGAACAAAAACTCCATTATAAGAGTAAAATATTGAGTCTGGAAAGGTTCCATTTGGGAGGAAGCATTTCTAGCAGTTCAGCAATAAGATGCTTTAAAACAAATATAACTTTTATATTTTAGATTCCATATAAATTATACAATTTTAATATATATATATTAATATAATGCTTGCCATTTTAGCACTATTGCAAACAGCAGCTTGTTGAGGTGCTTTTTTTCTTTTATTTTTAAGGTTTTTTTTTTTAGTTTTTTTTTTTAAATGCAAGATCTTAAAAATGTAATGACGTTGTAGGATTATTGGATAAATCAAAGTAGGTTGTGTTAGTTGAAGTGTCTTTAAGTGTGTCCTGGGAATTGAAAGTATTACAATTGCAAGATTAAATAATTAACTTTTCAGTGTATTAATATATTGAACTTTAATAATCGGTCCCTGCTATATGTTGTAAAATCTGTTGTAAAAGTAAAAATAGTTTCTTTTTCCTTTAGGTATGTATTACTGAAAGAGAAAAACATGCTTCTAACATTGGAACAGGAATCCAAACGGCAGAGAGTAGCAATGCCAAGCCATGAGCGTTTGTCTAAGGTAACAATATGGGCAGTTCTGCTTCAGAACTAGTATCAATATTTTCGTAGTGTGATGTTTGTTTTGTAATTATATATTTATGTAAGGCATGTCAGTTTTAGAAGTCATTAATAACAGAGAGTTTGCATAGATAAGCATCTAGTAATATAAGAAGGCAGCAAGTATGCACAGGCCAATACAATCTGAGTATGCAGTGACATCAAAGGAACACTATAGGCACCCACACCACTTCCACTCATTGAAGTGGTCTGGGTGCAGTGTCCCTGTCCCCTTTAGTCCTGCAATGTAGATCATTGCAGTTTTGAGAAAGCCCACTCTGTCAGATGACATCGGAGGAGAGGGAGCGCTGACCAAGTGACATCGGCGCTGGAATTGGGTAAGTGTTAAAAAGACGTATTATTACACATAACTGCTCTGAATCCTCAACGTTCTTCAGACCCAGACAGCCAGTCTGCTGGGATAATTGGTTGGTCTACTGCCTGCTGTGAGTGCTGATCGTGGCTGGAATAGGAGGCTATTCTTGTTTCCCTGTTTCCACCCCCTTTAACCAGTGGAGGTTATTCCTGTCCCCTCTGCCAAGGACATCCTGTTGGTCTTGTAGATCCGGCAACCAATGATGCCTATACAGCCAGTCAGCACAGACCACCTAAGATGACTGCCACCAGACACGCATCAGAGTCAGTAAGGAGTGGGAGAACCTGGCAGGCAGTTTGGTGGTATATGATCTCATTTATGTCCAATTTTGGGGTGAAGCTTGCACATAGGGAATGTCCTGAGGTACCAAGTGGCAAAACCTAGCCTCTAGCAGCCACAAATGCTTACCTGGACTGCAAGCTTGTTTGGAGACCCTGAAACAGTGGAATCCTCTTCCCAGCGTACTTATTAACTGGGAAGACCCTGCTGGCAAGACAGTGTAGTGAGGTTAATTACAGGGGACTTCCCCGGGCTTGTTCAATGGTCAGCTTACTCGTCCTCAGATGCTAGCAATGAGCCAAACCTGGGCCTATGAATGTGGTCATTGGTCCAGTAATCACATCACAACAGTGCCTCTCGAATGGATGTGTGTTGATGTGACCTCAGATGCTGTGTCCAGCTGATTTTTTTATTTGTGTTAACTTTTTGGTTATGTGAGGGATATAACCAAATAGTTATGTTATGTGTCTATTTTCTTGCATTATAATTCTAAGTGAAGTAATTGCTTTTTTGTATGTAAACATTTAAAATGAGTGCCTTCTTCTATATTGCTAATATGACAGATATGGTTTACTGCTTTTGTCTGTTTATAATAATGAATGTAAAACTGCCATTTTGTGACATTTACTTGTTGAGTCTTCAAAATAACTTCTCTCTGCATATTAATAACATACTTTAAGTGGATTTTAATATTCTTAAAGGAACACACTGTTATAAAATACAACACAATATACACCCAAAGTGATTGCACACAGAATATAATTAGATGTATCAAAGCAGCACAGGTTCAATATATCTGTAAAAATACAAACAATAAAAATATAGTGCTTTCTGTGTATAATATAAAATACAAATAAAAGGTGAGAGGAATCAAACTCACAAAGCTAGAGCCATACCAGGTTCTATGAAATCAGCATATAGGGTGCCTATACAGGCTAAAACGGTAGGATGCCAGGACAGGATACCGGATCAATTAAAAATATCCATTTATTGAGTACAATTAAAATAAGGAATATAAGGACATGGATTAAAAAAAAAAGAGAGAAATAAGCAGTGTATGTAAAAATCTATAAAATATCACCGCCAAAAGTCCATTCAAGTCCAATTCCAAAATTCAGTAGACCGCAGACGCGTTTCAGCTTTTGCTTTCCTCAGTGCTTGTCCACTACTTCGCTCGATCAGTTTATATATCCTATCTCGGTGTAATTAAGATCTTTCAGCTGGCATCCATTTCCGCATCGACGATATGACGTAATTTCCAGCATGACGTCAGTACGTCAGCCGGTGTCTCATTTCCTCTATTGCACAAATCTCCATTATGGTTATGGGCAAAGATGCCTGTATTGTCCTCATACATAGTATATTAAAAGTAAGTGGGGAAAAAGAGGAGAAATGCAGGTATAATACAAAACAATGGTAAAATGTAATCGAAGGAATATTCTGAAATATAAAAAAAAAAACACTAAAGAAATATATCTAAAAAATAATTAAAAATGTAGAGAATATATATAAAACCAAGAAAAAAATACTGGATACAAAAAATATTAAAAATTAATTAAATGAAATGGATAAACCCAAAATCTACATTAAGTCCCCTAGGGGACAAAGTATCCAAAGTGAAAATCCATCTGCTTTCAGTTTTAAGTTCCTTAAAATTGTCCTCCCCCCTCCAATCGAAACTCTTTTAAAAAAAGCCATTGGGATAGGATATATAAAGTGATCGAGCAAAGTAGTGGACAAGCACTGAGGAAAGCGAAAGCTGAAACGTGTCTACTGAATTTTGGAATTGGACTTGAATGGACTTTTGGAGGTGATATTTTATAGATTTTTAGAGACACTGCTTATTTCTCTCTTTCTCTCTTTTTTTTTTTTTTTTTTTTCTTTTTTTTTTTGATCCATGTCCTTATAGTCCTTATTTTAATTGTACTCAATAAATGGATATTTTTAATTGATCCGGTATCCTGTCCTGGCATCCTACCGTTTTAGCCTGTATAGGCACCCTATGTGCTGATTTCATAGAACCTGGTACGGCTCTAGCTTTGTGAGTTTGATTCCTCTTACCTTGCTTTTATTTGTATTTTATATTATACACAGAAAGCACTATGTTTTTATTGTTTGTATTTTTACAGATATATTGAACCTGCGCTGCTTTGATACATCTAAGTATATTCTGTGTGCAATCACTTTGGGTGTATATTGTGTTTTATTTTATTTATTCTATGTGAAGGTGATTAGGGGAGTACACCTTTTCTACACCCAATCTTTATTGTTACTATTTTTTGAAGCGCCTACACAAACATCTCTTTTGTTTTTTGTATAAACATATTTATGTACCATGTTAGTCTTCCTGTTACTGTTTGTTTATTTTATCAGACCATAGGTTAAAGTAAAAAAACAAAACAAAAAAAACACATTCAATCCAAGGCCATTATGGTTTCATCACAGCAGCCGTTCTTCCTCTTCTGAAATCATCATGGTTAATGATCTCGGGGTAATACAGTGCTCACACTGGCTCTATATCCCATATGCAGCAATTTGATGCTTTTCATAGAGAAGTATTATCCCAATTTTTCTCTATTAGAAGAATAATGGCGATTTAGCATCATCCTGCTGGGTGTGATGACACCAAACTTTACTGTCTGATAGCCACGAGAGACCTTCTAACTGGCAAATGTACTTCCTAAAAATGGCAATGTTAACTACAGTATACTATTATATAAAAACTATCCATCTGCCGGTGATTTTGCAAGCATGCGTAAATTGAATTTCATTATTTACCTGATGAACTTGTCATCCACATAGGCGTGCGCAGTCTATTGCATTAGGGTGTGCACCCTAAAGCACAAAACACACGCCGCGTGTATATGTATTTGTGTGTGTGTAAGGGTGCTGTGTGTGAGGGTGCTGTTTGTGTGCTATGTGTGTGTGAGGGTCCTGTTTCTGTGCTGTGTGTTTGAGGGTGCTGTATGTGTTTGTTTCCTGTATGTGTTTGTTACCTGTATGTGTGTGGGTGCTGTGTGTGTGTGGGTGCTGTGTGTGTGTGTGGGTGCTGTGTGGGTGCTGTGTGTGTGTGTGGGTGCTGTATGCGTGTGAGGGTGCTGTATGTGTGTGATGTTGCTGTGTGTGTGTGCTGTATGTGTGTGTGTGCTCATCCACATATTTACTGAAAACAATTTACTGATTGAATTTTTAATGTTTCCAAATTAATGTATAGATGTTTATGAAAGATAAATATTTTCCATTTAAAATTGACGAAACTTTTTTTCACATGAATGCTAAAGAAATATTCTAACTAGCCAAGGACCTGATTATACTCTGCTTTATACCTGCAGGTGAACAAATCGATGAAGAGGTTAGATATTGTCCTTAAGGAAAGAGAGGATTCACTCAGGCTTTTACAGACCGGCCAGGAAAAGCCTTATCCAGGAGATTGGAGAAAGGATGTCTTTGGGGAAACAAATTGGTATGGGAGTTTCTGTTCAACAAGTGCAGGGTTATTCACTAAACCAGGCATTGACATGGGGATTGCAAATTTTACAATAAAATAGCCAACTTATTATAGCACAACTATTTTGACCTAAAACTTGAAATGCCATTGCCAATTTCCTCCAAATTATGATTTAGTACAGACAGAGTAGCCCAAATAGTGTGAAAGATCCCTTCACTGAATTTTAATGTAATGAGATGCAAATCTGTTATTCATACAATAATATGGAAGGTCTTCCCATTCACGTTGCCAGATTTGATATACATATTGCCATCGATGCAACATTGCACTATAGTGTCAGGAATACAAACATGTATTGCTGACACTATAGTGCTGTAGTCACTGTTTAGGTGACCAACGCAGTTCAGTTCGTCACAAGCACATTCCATTACAATACTGATTTGTGGTTTCACTTTTGCTTGTTCATTTGTTTATCGAGATCTCTATTCTATTAACAATTGGCACGTCTATTCTATTTATCCGGTATCTCCTGCCCAGACCTTGGCTTGCTCTTTGATTATCCCTGCCCAGCCTTTCTAAGCACCAGTAATACAGACTATCCTTGTTTTCTGTTTCGAGTGGCAGTGGGTTTATGTGCTAGGGTTCTCTTCTGATGGGGTATTCATGTGATTTTAATAACTTTTAATAATAATGTATTTTTCATAAAGGTACACATACAAAGAATGGCCTATGCCTTGGTATATGAACAGAGGATACAAGAAGAAGAATTTCTTTGCATTGCCATATGTTGATCATTATGTTAGGTGAGTGTAATATGACTATTATTTAAGTATTATTTCATGGCTTTACCAGAGAACAACCTAACAACCCAGTGATTTTCATGCAAGCTTCACAGCTTTCAGCAGTTTACAAAAGATCTTGCTTAGGAATTCAGGAGGATTTTTCAACATGTTTAGCTCAATATATAATTGTATCATACAGACGTGTTTTTATATAAGCATATGAAGGTATTTAATGCATGATAATGAATATTAATCCTTTTGTATTTGCTATTTTAGATTAAAAATTGAGAAGCAGTTACGTTGCAAAGCAAGACGAATAAATGCTGAAAAAGAGAAAAAACGTGATCTGGAAGAGAGATTTCCGCATCTGGCTAATAAATCGTGAAAACATATTGTTAAATATAAATGTATCAGTTATCTTATGTTGCAATGCTAATAAATTACTTTGTAATAGTTTTTCTATATTATCAGAGTTTATGAATAATAACATGTCTATTTACCTAGCAGAGTTGGTGTATCTGGTTCTTCAGTTGATATGATAATTTTTTAGACACTAGAGGTGACTAACTCTGCAAGTTTTTTTAAAAGAGAGTTCCCAAAATTTGTTAAAAAAAAATGAATAGTCTGCAGAAGTACACATTTTCACATCCCCTCTCATTAAAGGGTCACTCCATGTACCACTACAGCTCTGGAATCTCCCTGACACCTACCAGCGTCTTCTGTGTAATCAGAAGCTCCTTGGAGCTTCGTTTTGCTTGTAGAGCAGGTGGCATTAGGCGTCCAGTAGACCTAGGTATGTTGTCAAACCATTTGACTTTGTACCATATGAGGGTGCCAGGGCACTTATTGCACCATAATCACTACAGTGCCACCCCTCTCATTTTTGTCTGTTTTTTGATGGCAGTAATAGGCTGTGAGTGCTGGGCCCTTCTTAGCCTAGAGCTTGCATGCGATTATTGCTGTCTAAATTTGTACAAATATTATGGTGGTTGCAGTGAGGCTGAACTCTAAGTGCTAGTAAAACTCTTGTGTATTTTTTTGTTTGTGTTTTTGTTATATCCGAACATTAGAACAGTTTGACAAAAACAAAAGGAACGACAATAAGCAGTAGAAGTTTTGATGTTAGGAGTGTCTCAGAGTATTAAAAGGGACGCTCCATACCACAAAATCATGTCAGCTTGCTAAAGTGCTTGATGTGTGAAGAGTGAAAAGTACAGATTTCATTAGAAATTGGCACTATTAATTAACCTTGTTACATTCCTATGCTGTCAACCAGGTCAGCTGGAGTTAGTAGGGGTTGACTTGCAAAGAGATCTGCAGCTTTTGCAAGCTGTTTTTAGATATACTCCCTATGCAAAAATGCATACTTAAATGCATGCATGTCTTTATTGAATGTATATGGTTTTTTAAATTTTTTTTTTATTTTGGCATTGGAGTGTCCCTTTAAGCCCCCTATCTAGGTTCATGTTTCATACAACTCTTGAGACTAATAGGATATGTATAGGCATTTAAATATTGGGTTTCTTTAGGTTCTCTACTGCAGTTCGTTAACCTTTTCTTTTCATTCATTTATTTTCACTGCATACTTTAGTGCACAGTTTAAACTAAAAGTTACAGGGACAAATCTCTGTTGTTTAACTTTCTATGACCACAGTTTTCTCATTCACCAAAAAACAACTTAATAATCACTCCTTAGGGACATGACAAGAAATATTCTTAAATAGCAACAGATTTGTGTGGTATACATGTTCCCAGATTTATTTCCTTTGGGCATTTAAAGGCACATTTCAATTGAATGTTTATTATCATTTATTCTAGCACAAGCAAAAGAAAATTGCAAAGTAACTGCCAAAGGACAAAGCAATACAGTTGATTTTGAAGACAAGCTTACAGCTACATTGCACTCTGTTTGCAGAGAATCTTAACCTAGTGTTAAAAATGGGCAAAAAAAAAAAATATATATCATATTCTTGGAAGGCGCTATGGGCATTTCTTCGCCAAACATTGTCTTCCTCCTTCTTCATATTCTTGTTTCGAAATGCACAGCTGTGGGAAGGATGCCTAGAAAAACAGAATTGTAATACACTAAGTAATAATCAATCAAAAGCATTTCTCATGTAATTGTTATGCCTTGGGAATTGTTGCCAATGCATTTTAATGTAGTATATACATATTGAGAAATGTGAACAGACTGTTTGTAAAAAATACACTATACCATTATCAGAGTAAAAACTAACATGCTCTGTTATGTATACGGCATTCATTTTATCTGTCCAGTCTCTTTTCCACCTGTCTTTAAGAAAAAATGGCATACCATCACAATACATGACTTCCTTATCGCACTGAACAAATAGTATGATGTATATCAATGAGGCTTTTGGAATCACAGGAAAATAGAAAAAGATATGAGTTTCTACTAGCAAACACGGTAAAGTGCCCAAGTTAATTCTACAACTCTCTTACATATCTAGGCTAGAGATTAAAAGCAATGATAATTTCCCCTACCAGCCATGAGATTTTCTAGGGTGAAAGCATACTATGCTGCAGGACATTGCAATGACATGAAGGCCACAACCTAATTACCAGCCTTGCAATGATCAGCCACAGCATTAAAACCTCCTGCCTAATATTGTGTAGTTTTCCCTCATGCTGCCAAAAAAGCTCTGATGCATCGAGACATGGACTCCACAAAACTTTTGAACATGTCTTGTGGTATCTGGCAACAAGACAGCAGCAGATCTTTGAAGTCCTGCATGTTGCATGTGTCATGGATCAGATTTGTTGTTTACCTCTGACATTAATTCTATATGCATGAGCATACAAGAGAGGTCTGTACAGAAGTTCAAGCAGAAAGCAGGATATCATAAATTGTGCCGTTGGCACTGGTATCCTAAAACAGGACTGTATTTCCAGTTGGGGGATATGTCTGTGGTTGAACAGCACTGGTTGTGCACCTTGTTAAACTTAGAAAGTTTTATACAAATAGGAATTTGATTCTGATATTATAAAATGTAGCAGAACCACTTTTTGGCTGTTCCATTCCCTTTTATTGATTGTTGGCCCTGCTGGTTGTGTGATTAAAAGTTCAGTTCTACTCCTGATACTGTGTGTCGTCCAGTGATTGGGGAAAGTGATGGGATATTATTGGATTGTAATGCTGATTGTGCTGGATATTCTCTTGGATTTATTACTTGTTCCTGCATCCTCTTAAAGTACCTGGTGGAGTTTAGCTGTGAGAAATCAGCTCTCCGTTACATAAAATATAGAACTTTTAAATCCCAATGGAAAGACAACAGTCTTGCACACTCAATACCTGTCTGGGTAACATAGTCACGATACACATTACACTTCTGTTTACTAGGTTTCAATTAACTTAAATACTGGTACCCAAACTCTTTTTTTTTTTTTTTTTTGCACTCACCAAAGCAGCAAAAGTAGATCCACCAAACCATACATTATTCTTCCTTTCCACTGGGGGTTTTTTGGAGAACACTTTTAGATTCATTTCCTTAAAAGAAATTACAATGTTTGTAAACCACACAAAAGCAAAACAAGTACATCCTATATACAAATATATACACTTAAAGGGAAACTAGGAACCAGGAATAGTTTTGTCCAGCGCTGTGTTGTGTCCAGCGCTGATGCCCCTTGGCTATAGTTTGGGTTCCTTGTCAGCCACTGGGTGACATAATGCGCATGCGTGGCAATGGCGGCACTCGCATTTCCCCCATAGGAAAGCATAACTGCTCTTAGCATAATGCTTTCCTATGGGGTTTTACATGACACTGGATGTTCTCACCCGGAAATCCTTTTTTATTATTATTATTGGTATTTATATAGCGCCAACTAATTCCATAGCGTTTTACAATACTGTGAAAGGGGGGACATTTACAGTAAAAGAGACAATTACACAGTTACACAGGAACAATAGGTAGATGACGGTCCTGCTCAAACAGGGCTGCAAAGGTGACACCCACCAAACAAGGTGGAAAAGTAGAATAACTGGAGGTGAGAGTGGAGTGCAAGAGACAGATATGGATAGGTATAGATAATTTACTCTGGGAGTCCATGAGCATTTATGAACAGATGTGTTTTGAGGGACTTTTTACACAACTGAAGACTAGGGGAGAGTCTATTCCAAAGGAAAGGGAGCTGCCTGCGAGAAGTCCTGCAAGCGCGAGTTAGCAGTAAGGGTGCGAGCAGCAGAAAGCCACTAGAGGTGGAGTTAACCCTCAAAAGGTAGTTACTGCAGTTTATTAAAAACTGCAATAATTACCTTTGCGGGGTTAAGGGACCTGGGACCATGCACCCAGATCACTTCAATAAGCTGAAGTGGTCTAGGTGCCTTTAGTGTCCCTTTAATGGGTTTTTGGCACTTATATGTAATGAAAAAGTTAGTATGATTAATCAGTATTCTTTGCTGAGGTTTATGTACAAAAATATATACATTTTACAATATTTAAGAGTATTTAATAACAACTTAGTAACAAACAGTGGGATCAATCCTACAGTAATAAAATACATATACCAATACCAAAATACAAAAGTGTGCATGACAATTAAATGGTTACTTCAGGCACCAAGACCACTTCAGTGATTAGAGGTTGTCATGGTACCTGAAGTCTGTACGTGCAGTATTAAACTTTGAAACGCTGCACATGCTGCGCTTAAGTCCTCTACTGCCAAAGTTGTAATTCCACCTCGCTTTTTATCTTCTCAAGTGTTCTTTTATTGTCATCATCATTTTTCTTCAAGTGCATCATGGATGCATGCACCCCTTTATACACACTCACCTTGATTATTACTCTTAGAAATAAACAATAATTAAAAGGTACCTGAGCCACTTTCGAAAACAGGTCTTTTCTTAGTCTTTCTGTATATCCTTCTATTAATGAATTACCGCCAGTCACCAGCACGCTGCTATATAATGCCTAAAAAAAAAAAAAATGTAAAAAAAGGTATACCTGAGTTTATTCAAATGCATACTTTTTTGCCATAATACCGCTCATGCTTAGCCAATCTGCCACAGTTACCATGGTTATAGCAGAATGGACAGTGAAAGACAATGATAATCTGATTTCTATTAAAGGGACACTATAGTCACCAGAACAACTACAGCTTATTGAATTTGTTCTGGTGAGTAGAATCATTACCTTCAAGCTTTTTGCTGTAAACACTGTCTTTTAAGAGAAAATGCAGTGTTTACATTACAGCCCTGTGATAACTTCACTGGCCACTCCTCAGATGGCTGTTAGAGATCCTTCCTGGGTCATGGCTGCCTAAAATGCATCCAAACATTTAGTATCTCCTCCCTCCCTCCCGCGTTAAAATATTTATATTATTATGCTTAAGTGTGGGTTGTGTTAAGGGGCATTTTATCATTATTTCCTGTCTAGTGCCTACAAATAGTGAACTTTAACCCTTTCACCACCACAACTATGTCACGCACACTCCTGAAGTAGGGTGCGTTCGTGATACCCAGACCACTTGAATGAGCGGAAGTGGTCTGTGTGCATTTAGTGTCCCTTTAAATCTTTGGCAAAAATGGCCAAATTGTAAAAAAATAAATGATTCCAGTTTAGCTGTGTGTTAACCTGTATTGTGGCTTTAAAATTAGAACCCACTTTGAATTCTCAACAAGTTACAACCCTGTTTTTTTCTTGAAACATTTTATTGTTTTAAACTTAGCAGATTGATACGATTGGTGTTTAAAATCACCACAGCCATTACTAAAGGTAAGAAAACAAAAAAATACAAAATGAAAACAAAGCAAAGGGTAATAATAAAAAAAGTAAAATAATGCATTTAAAAGGTGGAATTGAAGGTCATCCCCAAAGGACCTGCTAAGAAAACCAGGTGGTAAATTTCCATTAATGAGGGCCATTTGTTTGGAGTCTTGAGATTGAACACAGGGCTCCGAAAATAGGTGTGCACATGGGGTGTGTCAAGTGTGCCCAGGCACACCCTAATGCAACAGGAGTAATTTGTTACGTCACTGCACAGTGCTAAAATCTTTTCAATAGAACCCACCCTGTCACCATTTCCTCTATTCTCATACTCTCCCTCTTATGCCTCCCTCTCTTACCTTATCCTCCCACTTTAGCAGCACTCTCTGCATGATATGGTGTCTGTTTGGCCAGCCAAGAGGCTATCAGTCAGACTGGTGTGTATACATGCCAGGCTGGCACGCCCCTTCTGTCGACAAGCCCTCCTCCTTTCTGGATGGACCTACCCATTCTAGACATTGCCAGTGATGCATCTAGTGCACAACCTAATTAAATAAGCTGCACAAGCCTATGCTTGGGAAATAGAAGCTGAAGTGAGGGGAGATAGGAGCATTAGTGAGGATTTAGAGAAATAAGTGGTGGTTTAGGGGCAGTAGGGGAAGGGGATTGAGGGATGTAGTGAGGTAGATAAGTTGCTGAGGGAAAAGTTTAAAAAAACAACAATTAAACAAAGAAGACCATCCCGATACCTGGTAATCTGGTGGGAAATACAGCATGGGCACCCAGACTGGGTGCAGACAGCTCCTTCCCGCCATTCCTGAGAAATGTGTCAGAGCGTTGCTCTAATACAGCAGAAGGAGTAGATGAATTGGCCTGGAAGTACAGACCAGATTCTCCCTCTCAGCACTTGCCCGGTTGCCCTTCTGGCTGACTGATGAGAGAAGAACTAAAAAGCAAACCCTATAAGTGGGGTATACAGTAGGCATGTGCATGGGGAAAATTTTCTGTTTGGTTCGGCATTCCAAAATTCGGGACTTCTGTAATTCGGAACTTCGGCAACTTCAGCACTTCGGCACTTCAGAATTTCGGAACTTCGGCATTCCGGAATTTCGGCCATTCGGCACTTCGGGACTTCTCTTGAAGCCGATTAGTAGATAACTCCCTAATTCTCACGGTATTAGGGAGTTATCTACCAAAAGGCTGAAAGACCTAAATTGGTCTTTCAGCCAAATTTACTCATACTAAGTAAAAATTACTTAGTATTAGTAAATTTTGCCCCTACTCGATATACCACGAGTAGGGGCATGTCTAGTAAACACTGTCTAGTGCTCACTGTTAAAAAAAAAAAAAATGTGCCCCTCCTGAGCCCTAAAATAAAATGATGGGGGGGACCTATTGTCCTCCCCCTGGCCCCCACCCCTGAGCGGTGGGTGGGGGCCCTAAATACTAATAAGGGGGGACCTAATGTTTTTTTTGCGCTCGCTTTTTTTTTTTTTTCCTTTAAGTGCGTCGGTTATTATGGATTTTTTATTAGGCCTTTTTTGGGGCTGAAAAAAGAAGATTTTAGAAGAAAGAAAACATCAAATGGTAAGTTATTTTTTTACAGGTACTTAGTTAATGCCCCCCCTCATTATTTTTAGGGTGAGGGGGTAGGTAGGGGTTGTTTTTTTTGGGGGGAGGTGGGTGACTAGGGGTTTGGGGACCCCTAGTCACCTGGGGGGGTAACATTTTTATTTAGGGCCCACATCCGCTGCTCAGGGGTGGGGGCCAGGGGGAGGACATTAGGTCCCCCCTTTATTCTACTTTAGGGCCCCCACCCACCACTCAGGGGTGGGGGCCAGAGGGAAGGACATTAGGTCCCTCCCTTATTCTAATTTTGGACCCCCACCCACCGCTCAGGGGTGGGGGCCAGGTGGGAGGACATTAGGTCCCCCACCCACTGCTCAGGGGTGGGGGCCAAGGGGGAGGACATTAGGTCCCCCCTTCAGGTTAGAAGCCTCCATTCGCGCGGCACGGCCATAGGCTGCTCACTGTTTAATAGACATTGCCCCTACTCGCAGTATAGCGAGTAGTGGCATGATTTACTAATACTAAGTAATCTTTACTTAGTATTAGTAAATTTGGCTGAAAGACCAATTTAGGTCTTTCAGCCTTTTAGTAGATAACACCCTAATACCGTGGGAATTAAGGAGTTATCTACTTATTCATTCCTGTCATTATATTGACTGGCCAAGTAACTTACATTTTATATGACTGCCACCACAACCACTTACTAGACATGTGCAATTTGTTTCATTAATTCGGACATTTGGATGCTTACGAAGTTCCGAATTGCCGAAGTTTGGTAGTTCGGAAATGCCGAACCGAATGCCATTGGTCTGAATTCCTGAAGCAGACAAATCTTTTTACTTACCCGAATTTCTGAACCGAACCGAATTTTTTGCACATCCCTAATAAATAGCTGTTAGATTTTTTCTCTTAATTCATTTGACTCTAAAATGTGCCATTTTCCTCAGTAACTATTTTCGGGTATAGCCTCCTGAGAGGCATTAGATGAGAATCATATGAATCATATGCTTAATATGTTAAATGGTTTTGTTCGAAGCAACTAGAATTCTAAAAGTTGATCAAAAGGTGCACAATTAGAACATAAAATAGACTCTACTTGCCAATACCTTACCTTTTTAATACCGGCATCGCACAGTTCAATACTTTGTATCACAACATCGGTGAGACTGAGCATGTTATTATCAGACAGGCCCTAAAACAGAAAGATTACATTAATATTGCAACACAAATTTCATTTTGGATTCACATTAATCTCATTCTGTGCAGCTTAACACATTTAACATGTTTTGTACTCTACTGCCCACATACTAAAAAAAATAAAATTAAATTGCTGTTTAGTAGATACATCTCAAATGAAATTATGCATGCATTTAGTTATGGATTTTTTTTCATTGGGGCATATCTATAAAAACTGCCTGCAAAAGCTACAGATCTCTTGTATTTATCATTCCCAGGCCCTCCCCTTCTAACACCGACCATATTTTCTGTGGCTGTCCAATCACAGGCTTCTCAATGCAGCTCAATGAGCAGCCTTTGCAAGGCAGGTGCTCTGGGCAATAGCCTGCCTGTTCAGTTTAGCTCCATTAAGCTAAATAAACTAGGAAGCAACATGACAGTTGTCTGACTGTCAGCCAGAGGTGTAAATAGGTGTAATTTTCTATTGGAATTTGCATTTTTTTGTAAAATAGAAAAAAGAGGACACACTCTTCCCACATGATGTGTTTCAGCAAACAAAAGTGCTTTAGGGATCCGAAGTGTTTACTCAGAATGACTGAGTGCTAAGTAGCATGAAACACATTATGTGTGTTAAGCTGGCTTGTTTAAACTATGGTTTGTGAAATAACAGACACACAGATAACTGTTCTGTAACAGCAAGGGTGCCCCTCAATTTTCACGTTAGAGATTCAGTAGTAAGTTTGGCTCTATCCTAACGATTTACATCTGAAAGATGTATGCACTTTTTTAAATGTAGACTTTGGGTAAAATTGTTAGTACCTCACTTTAACCCTATGGCTAGAGAATGACTTATGGGTGAATTTTTATTTTTAATCCTAATAGGAACTTTTCACAATTTTACAGTTTCCAACACCCAAGCATCTTAAAAGCTTCCAATAACGATGTTTGGGTACATTGTTTAACTACAGGTAGGGTATTTCAATAAAGTGAGAATTTCTGGGATTCATAAAGGATTTCAAATATAAACCAAGGTAGCTGAACACTATGCTAACTATGGAATTTCAATTTCAGCTATTTGGGCCTTAAAGGGGCACTCCACTGCCCAAATACAAAATAAATTTAAAAATCACTGTTTAGTAGATATACCACGAATGAGAACTTGCATGCATTTAATTGCTTATTTTTTAATTGCGGGTAAATCGAAAATCAGCTTGCAAAACCTGCAGTTCTCTTGTCTGCTGCTTTTGCAAGAGAGAGGCACTGAGGCTAGTGGTGTTGTAGAGAGAGGCACTGAGGCTAGTGGTGTTGTAGAGAGAGGCACTGAGGCTAGTGGTGTTGTGGAGAGAGGCACTGAGGCTAGTGGTGTTGTGGAGAGAGGCACTGAGACTAGTGGTGTTGTGGAGACCGGCTTGGAGAGTATGGTGAAGCCTAATAGAAAGCAGTTGTTGTTGGGTGATTCCATTATAAGAGGTGTGGAGATGGACAATGGTGGTCTTGTGAGGTGTCTTCCCGGAGCTACTGCTCACAGAGACAGGAGACGTATCTGTAATATTGTTAAGCAAGCAAAGCAGGAAGGGGAATTGGATGTACTTGTCCATCTAGGGACAAATGACTTGGCTTGCAATGAGGTTTCAGAGGTTAAGGAAGTTTTTAGTGTTTTTGCCAATGATATACGGCAGGTTGCTTCCACACTGTCATTCTCTGAAGTTCTGCCTGTGCATAACACTCAGAACGACAGGCGGATGCGTATTAGGGACTTTAATTTGTGGCTTGGTGAATGGTGTCGGGAGCAAGGATTTGGCTTTATTTCTCATGGTAGCTCTGTTTGGAATGGAGATAAGCTGTACAAAAAGATGGTTTGCATCTTTCTCAAAAGGGAACAAATGTTCTCAGTGAGCAGTTCAGAGGTTTTGCTAGGATGTATTTAAACTAGGAGGGGGGCAAAAGGGTGATAAAACATCAATCCAATTGTCCCCCAAAACAAGGACAGAAGGTGCCTGTAGCAAGTGTGTTAAAAAATGATAAGCTTAGAGTCATGTCTACAAATGCTCGCAGTTTAGGGAATAAGATCCATGAACTTGTGGCAATAATGGCAACTGATAGTGTAGATTTAGTCGCTGTTACTGAGACATGGTACAATGAGAAAAATGACTGGGACATAGCAATACCAGGGTACTCTTTATATAGGAAAGATAGGGAAGGCAAGAAAGGGGGAGGGTGGCCTTGTATGTGAAGGATAGCATAAAATCTAGCCTAATAAAAGTTAGTGAGGCAAACATAGAGTCTGTTTGGGCTACGTTAGAATTTGGTAATCACACAGTAACTCGTGTAGGTGTGATTTATAGGCCCCCAGGACAAATTGAAGAGTTAGATAATCTACTAGTTGAGGAAATAGCTAAAATGACAATGAAGGGGGAAGTTATCATCATGGGTGACTTTAATCTTCCTGATGTAAATTGGAGAACAAAATTAGCTACTTGTGCCAGGTTAACACATATTCTAAACTCCCTACTGGAGTTGTCTCTAAAGCAAGTTGTTGAGGAGCCAACTCGTAAAGAGGCCATACTAGATCTAGTGTTAACCTTCTAACCCTAGCCAGACTTTCTGTGGCTGTCCAATCACTGACTTTCCAATGCAGCTCAATGATAAGTCTTTGTAAGTCAGGAGCTCTGGGAAAAAGCTGCCGCTTTAGGTCAACTGCATTGACCTAGTGAAACCAGGAAGTAACAGCTTGTCTGCTTGAAAGCCAAGGGGGTGTAACCAGATTAATTTGAAAAAGTGTAAATTTCTACTGAAATCTGCACTTTTAGCAAAATGGAAAAAAGAGGACACATTCTTCACACATAAAGATTTTCAGCACGCTAAAGTTGTTTAAGGGGTCTGGAGTGAACCTTTAAATTCCGAATTTGAATTTCCAGTCAATTCTCACTTTAGTGAATAAATCTGTAAGTGAAAATATAATGTAAGGGGAGATTAAACTGACTGCAGGTATGTGGGCAAACCAATAAAGATATGAAAAACATTTCCCATGAGGATAACATTTTAGTTTTTACTCTGTTATTCTCTCATATATCTTCTCCAGGCTTATCCATCTATACATTTATGTAGTACATTAACAGGGCAAACTTCTGCTTTCCACCTCGGTTTGCTGTTATTTTATATTTTTCTTTATAAAGAGTCAACATATTCTGCCGCAAACAACGTATGGATTTCCATATGAAAGTTACTAAGAGTAAAGGGAAACTAAATCTGTACATAATAAATATGAATTTAGTCAAATATGTTATATAACGCTGTAAAATGTAATGAACTTTTACACAGGTGCTGGATGCAGTACAAATTAATTAGAAAAAGAAAGTTTCTCGTAGGAGTCTATGGAGGCGATTTATCAAGGCTAAACAGGTGCTAGTTTGGGTGCAAAGTGCTAAAAATTGTCAAACATTCTGTTGGTTTCCATGGTGACTGCTTTTTTTTTTTGCATTTTGTTCCAAAATAGCATCTGCTTTTGTCTTGATAAAGAGAAACATTATTACACCTACTATTTTCAGCTACATAATGTCTATATTGCTACAATTAAAACTTGCACTTTTTGTAGTTGTGAATTTAAATATGTACACACTTTAAGCCTTCCTAAAGAGGACTTTAGAGGGATACTGTAGTGCCAGGAATACAAAGCTGTATTCCTGGCACTACCGATCCCTCTGCCGACCCCTCCCTCGCACCCCCTCCCTGGTAAATAAAGAGTTAAAAACCCTTTATTTACTTACCTTATCCCAGCGCTGATGTCCCTCGGCACTGGGTTGTAGCTCCGCCCTCTGCTCCATCCCACGACAAGTGGGGTCTAATGCGCATGCGCTGCAAATGATCTGACACTGCAGGTCCTCATGCAGAGCATGAGGACGTCCAGCCGCAGATAACGGACCAAAAGTCTGTTACAATTCTGGAAGCGCCCCCAGTGGCTGTCTAGGGCAGACTTTGTGCTGCAATGTTCTCTGGAACTGCAATGTTTTACAATTCAGCACTAGGTTCAAAAGGGACACAGCACCCAGACCACTTCAATGAGCTGAAGTTGTCTGGGTGCCTGCAGTGTCCCTTTAATTTACACACCAACCACTTTAACAATACCTACTGTATTACTTTAGCTAGTTAGAACCATTTCTGCATTACTGTATCCCAAGAAGGGCACATTTGATCACAGATGTCTAAATTTAACTTACTTTTACATTAGAGGGATCAAACAGTCCTTCGGGGATTTGAAGGCACTCTGTTCCAAACTTACAGTTGTAGCCATTGGGAAACTGATAATGAACATCTGGTTCCTTAGCTGCTACCCTAAAGAGATTCAGTAAGAGTAGTTTGCATTAGAGTCATCAGAGACAGCTGTTTGAGATGGTAATGTGCAAACAAAATGCATACACATAAGTAACCTGAAAGGATTCCTGCCATTCCAGACTCTTATAACTTACTGGAGAACAGCTGATATTTCTCTGGGCACAGTCCTTTATACATAGGGTTTCCCATAATTGCATTCTATCAATTTCTCACATGTAAAGTTTCATGGAAGCTGCAGTGTACGACCAGCTGAGGCTAATACACGGATGAATAGAGGCTCAATATAGGGAAAGGCACTGGATGATTATGTAAAGGAACACAACAAACTTACTTTTCATGAAATTTGGTTTTTGAAATCTGGAGAACAGAGGCCTTAAAATCCTGTATTACACCCTGTAATAGATGGGAAAGAACCCATGAATAATGCATCACTGGAGAACTAGTTCCAAAGTGTAAATCTCTAGCATTGTAACAATGTTTTACTTACATCACACATATAATTATGCCAGGATTGTGTCACCTGGGGAAGTGGCGCTATTTGCTCCCAAATAGCGGGTTCCCCTTCTCTCACTGACTCCTAAATATGCAAAAAACAATATTATTACAGCATGTCATTTTGTATGTTTTTTCACTGCTTATATGGTACACTAACATCTCAATTAAATAGAAAAACATGATTTTCATTCAATTAACGTACCTGTGACGCAATCATGTAAGGTGGTATTATATCTATGTTCCTTTCTTTAAAATAATGTCTGCATTGTTGTGTAATAAAGTCGCCTGCCAGGGGTGATTTCACAATCCCTGCACAAGAAGAAGAAATGTGCATGGAAATAATTTGTATGTAAATGATAATAATATGTTCCAGCATCACAAGGGTAGTCAGGACCTGCAGTATTAGCAAGATTCATCCTATCCCTTCATTTTAAAAGTACACAGACAGACAGAGAGACAGACAGAGAAACAGAGATACAGAGAGACAGACAGACAGACAGAGAGACAGAGAGACAGAGAGACAGAGAGACAGACAGATGTGTAAAGTAATGGCTGCCTAGTCTACCAAGATACAACCCATTAATATATCAGTTTCTGGACTTGATAGTGGATGACACAGGAGGACCAAATATTGCAAAGTCGAACAATGCATTCCCTATTGTGAGGAATTTTGTAAAGTATTCTTTGAATGCTAGTTCCTAGTATCGTAGTAATCTATTTTGAAAAAAAGGCTCAAGTCCACACATTTTTTTTTAATGCTGTTGCGACCTTCCTCCCCACCACCAAAAGAAAATGCATTGTACTTGTGTTTTCCTCTGCTATACCCCCCAAAATGTTTAATTTTCAATGAGAAGCACTGACAAATTGACCAGCCTGTGTGTATCTCGGGAGAAGGATTTATGGCACATACTTTTAGAAGGTTATTGATACAATGCTTGTTTTACCTTTCTGGAGAACATATCCATCCCGAACAGGAACAGCTGCTGTATATTTAGAACCGCTGTCCAATACAAGCCCTGTGGTGCGACCATTAGCAAATCTAATCCAGAGAATTAAGGGGCAAAATATAGTATTTATAATCTGTTATATAACTGCATAGACGATGTGTGTAGTAGACAGTAATACCTGCAAAATCATTAAAGGAACACTATACTGTTGACTCCTTTTAACTTTTTTTTTCACTTACCTGATTTTAGTTCCGATGTCCTAGGTTATATGTTGGTCTCCTCCCCCACTTACATCATGTCAATTGAGAAATCTAATTCACAGGGGAGGCGAGCGCCAATAGGTCAGTGGCGGCTGGTTACGTTTTAAGATGGTGGGTGTAATGAAACTACCATGTTATTCGGGACTTTTTATTTCTAATTGGTTCGGTAGCTGTAACTACCGAACACCGACCACCGCCCTGGCTCATTATCTTCAAAGAGAACAGTCAATTAAGTGCTCTCCCTGTGTGACCGCCGTTCATATAGTCGAATGCCATGTGCAGGAGAAAATAGCGGCCATCTTGTTTGCACGAAAGGAGGCAGTGGGACTTGGTCGTCGAGTGTCTGGAACTAAAATCGGACACTAGACTTCACGAACACTGGTCAAATTATACGAAGGAGAGCACTGTTCGGTAGTTTGATTCCCACGAACTAGAGGAACAATCACTGCTATGAGCCAGGGGATACCATTCATGCATTTATTCATTTTTGAGACTTTCCGAAATAGACCGACCGCACAACCTAAACTCATGGAACTATTTCTGGGCAGGAGCCTCGTGTGCGGTCAGTCAAAACTAGACTTCCATAAAATTCCCAAACCTCTGAACTGATCTGGGTGATTTTTGGATATGTTGGTCACCCAGATCAGGGCTATCAGGGGATATAACATTTATAGGGTTATGTGTTTTGGGGTACCTTTCAAGATTTATGAAAGATTTGTTTTTTCTGCCTGGAGATAATTGAGTTATTACAGTATCTGACTCAATTATCTCACAGGCAGACAGGAGGGATTATCTGTTTGTATTGGGTGTGTCACACTTTGTAACTGTATTTTTATTGGTTGTAAACTTTGTGTCGAAGTCCCCAACAAGGTCCATGTGCGAGTGCCTCTTGCATGGGGACTTGGATAAAAGCCAGTGTGGCACCATAAAACTTTATTCCTGTTGTACCCTTCATCTAGTCTAGGCTGATGTTTGGGTAACTGTCTACTTGCTGGGGAGAACACTACTTGGATGCTGCATTCGTCTGGAACCATTTGAATCTACACCCGAACTCCAAACTATAATCACTCAGGCTAAGCAGTTCGGGAGGGAATTGGCGAACAGGGTATCTACTATACCAGCATTCATAACAGTGGGGATTTAGACTCCTCCCACATAATTTTACTCCTCCCTATACAGTACAGAAATACTCTTAAAATACAAAGAGCTGAGCATACTACAGATATATTCATACATTAAAACAAGCTGGGCACAGCATAAAGACGTCTATAAAGTAACCCTTACCACAAACAGAGCTGAGATATAATACACAGAGATATAATACACAGAGCTGGGCACACAAAGATAGTTATCCAATTCACAGAGCTGGGTAGACTACAGATATACTCATACAACAGGTAGAGCTGAGTAAAATACAGAGATATAGAGCTGGGCACAATAAGGAGATAATATAACTAAACCACACAGCTAGGATCACTGTGGTGGATTACACAGAACTGCAGTACGGAGATCCCAACACAGTATTACCTTTGCAGTTGGCAATATAATTTGAAGCTTCACAACTTTTCAACCAGCCACAGCATGAGTGTCTCTGGTCTCAGCTTTAACCCACCTTTAACCCCTTAAGGACGGAGCCAAATGTACACGTTGTGAACGAAACAAAATGTAAACAAAACCTGGCATTTGCGCTACATGTCTAATTCACCTCTTTCATAGTAAATACACCCACCCTTATTATATATCATTTTATTCAGGGTAAACATGGCTTTCATTTAATATCAAATATTTAGCTATGAAACATAATTTAATATGAAAAAATGGGAGAAAATAAGATTTTTTTTTTATTTTGTTAGTTCTACATGACATTTTAACGGTCAATGTCATAATACTGTTTGCTTTTACTGCAATAAAATACACATATTTGTATTGAGCGATGTCTCACGTGTAAAACAGTACCCCCTATGTACAGGTTTTATGGCATTTTGGGAAGTTACAGGGTCAAATATAGCACGTTGCATTTGAAATTGAAATTCGCCAGATTGGTTACGTTGCCTTTGGGACTTTATAGTAGCCCAGGAATGAAATTTACACCCATAATGGCATACCATTTGCAATAGTAGACAACCCAAGGTATTGCAAATGGGGTATGTCCAGTCTTTTTTAGTAGCCATTTGGTCACAAACACTGGCCAAAGTTAGCGTTAGTATTTGTTTGTGTGTGAAAAATGCAAAAAACGCCAATTTTGGCCAGTGTTTGTGACTAAGTGGCTACTAAAAAAGACTGGACATACCCCGTTTGCAATACTTTGGGTTGTCTACTATTGCAAATGGTATGCCATCATAGGGGTAATTTTCATTCTTGGGCTACCATAGGGTCTCAAAGGCAACGTACACAATCTGGCAAATTTGAATGTGAAAAAAATGAAACACAAGCCTTATATTTGACGCTGTAACTTTTGAAAACACCATAAAACCTGTACATGAGGGGTACTGTTGTACTCGGGAGACTTCGCTGAACACAAATATTTGTGTTTCAAAACAGTAAAAAGTATCACAGCAATAATATCGTCCGTGTAAGTGCTGTTTGTGCATGAAAAATGCAAAAAACGTCACTTTTACTGGCGATATCATCGTTGTAATACATTTTACTGTTTTGAAACACTAATATTTGTGTTCAGCGAAGTCCCCCGAGTAGAACAGTACCCCCCATGTACAGGTTTTATGGTGTCTTGGAAAGTTATAGGGTTAAATATAGTGCTAGCAGATTAAATTCCCTTTACTTTCGGCATGGGTTGTCAGGCAGGTCCCGCTAATTGTAATTAATTAAGATACCCAATTATGTAAAAATATTACATAAATTTATATGTAGAATTAATATATGTATATATATATACGTATGTGAATATATATGTGTATATAGATATATATATATATATTTTTTTTTTAATATTTTTATTTATATATAGGTATATATATAGTGATATATATGTATATATTTATGTATATAGATATATATATTATTTCATTCTACATGTATTTTGATATAAATATATATATATATTAATATCACAATACAGTTAGAACGAAATAACACACATCTATATATTTTTTAATTATTTTTTTAATTATTTTTTAAATTTTATTTTTTAACGTATTTACATATTTAATTTTTTTATATTATATATAAATATATATGTAACAATAATTATATATATATATATATATATTTAATCAGTATCAGTCTACGTGTAATTTGATATTAATATATATATATATATAATTATATATATATTAATAGTAAAATACACCTAGACAGTGTATGTGTGTGTAAGTATATGTGTGTAAATATACTTAGATCATATATATATCTAAGTATATATTATTATTTTTTTTTACACTATTTAATTTATTTGATTTTATTTCCAGCCAGCAGGGGGACCACCTGTAATTACAGGCAGCCCCCCTGCTGGCAATGCTGCAGCCAGCTATCCCGGCCATGTGATTGTGAGGTCGGGGGGGGGCTGCAGGAGGAAGATCTGCTGCGGGGGGCTCCCTGGGAGTCCCGCCAACAATCGCCGGTGTGGGATCGCCGGCGACCGGGTAAGTACAGAAAGACCGGAGGGCGTACTATTACGCCCGGCGGCGTTTAGAGCCGCCTATAATAGGGCGTAATAGTACGCCCTCCGGTCTTAAGGGGTTAAAGAAGATGGTGGGTATGTGCGGTAGTAGTTATTAAAACTATTAGTAATAGGCAGCACGGTGCTCTGTGCTAGAAATGTCTCTCTCCTCTTGTCAACCCTGTGCTTCCCATTACTTTATATATATTTATTATATATTTGAATGCATTTCCTTGCTTAAGAAGCCCTCAGGTAGTCATTGGGACTATTGGGGGAGAGAAAAAGATAAAATTCAAATAATACATTTGGCAGGGGTCAGGAGCTGGTGCTGTTCTCTCACTGTGTTACTTCCAAGATGACTTCACTCTCCTGTAACCCAACCTGCAGTGATATCAACCCATGAAGGCCCTTGAATAGAAAGTCAAAAAGCATGTCTCTGGGCAGTTGCTTCTGCTGCCCATATTGCAACTTCTGGAAATTCTGGAAATTCCTGAATTTTCTTCTTAAAGAACACTAGGCAATGTGCAAAACCTGCTGTAAAAGGGCAGATTTGAAGCCTGTCTCATTTTTTTTACATGCCTATAGGCTCTCCAGTAAGCGTCTCTAAACACCTACCAATGGGGGGAGGGGGTTTCCTGCAAAACTGAAACCTATTACAAAATTAAAGAGACAACTTGCAAAGTAAACTACTGTTCCCATGCCTCCAACTAAAGTCGTACATATTAGAAAACTGTAAGGCTGACACGGGATCCACACAGCTGACACAATTTGAAAAGCTATGCAAAGCCCTTACCCCTCCGAGGAAAGTACTTACACAGCGTTGAAAGAGGCGCACCCACTAGAGACCAGGTCATACAGGGAAGCATGGCACAAGGAGCTGGGATACACAATCCCGGGCGACCAATGGGATAAAGCACATATGGCACATAGAGGTAACACAACATGCACAACGCACTTTGAGCTGATGAGAAAACTTATGTACAGATGGTACTACGTACCCGATAGACTTGCCCGCATATATCCAAATGTATCCAATAAATATTGGAGATGCGGGGAGGGAGTGGGTACAATGTTACATGTCTGGTGGTCTTGTCCGAGCCTCCAGGACTTCTGGAAAATGGTCACAAAGGAGGTATCAAATGTTACGCAAACAGAGCAGTGTTGTACCCCCGACCACTGTATCTTGTTCATATTACTGAGAGATATACCTAAACCACTGACCAAACTTACTTTCCAGATCTTAATAGCAGCGAACACATTGCTTGCGAGAGCCTGGAAAACAGGTAAAGTCCCGAGCACAAAAGCCTTAAGGGAACAAGTAACCCTTAACTGGGACTACGAGCAAATGGCGCACTCCTACATAGCCCCTAACCCCAACACCATCAAAGCCAAATCCATATGGGATAATTATACACGTAAAGCTACTAACAAGGAAAGACCAGGAGCGGAGGGGAGCTCTCCCCTCCCCTAAGATAACATAAGATACTAAAGTACGCAGCCAAGAAGTGTACCAACAGAAACACACATGAGCCAACAAAGCATTGATAGAATCATTGACGAGATTACTGCTATATGCATCGCCTTCCTACCCACCCCCCATCCTTTTTTCTTTTCTGTACCCTGCCCAGTTGTCAACCAAGGACGTTAAACCTCAGCCACGACTGGTTGAAGAAGAGAAAATGTTTAGTTTCTTGATAGAACGGAACAGATGGTAGATAAACCCAAAACAGACCCAGAAGAACTAACCAGATACTGGGAGTGTATCTCTATAGTATCTGCATTATCTTTATGTTATTTTTAGGTTACCATGTTGACGTGATGTTTTCTTGACAAACAATGCATCGATTACTTGATTGACAATCACCCCCTGAAACCCACCTTTCCTTTCTGTACCCCAGAAACTTAATAAAAATTGTCAAATTGAAAAAAAAAAAAAGACTAGTTGTTATGGATTACACAAAAACACCAAAAAGGATACGCTACGAAAGATGGACCTTTACCAAGGTAGAATGCAGGAACTTCATAATGCTCAAACATCAGCTCCATTAGCTTTTCACGTTTGTCTTGAGCATTCCACTAAAAAGGAAAAGGTTAAACTAAAATTCATATTTGTTTCCTTATAATCATGTAACAGTCACTGCGTTACTAAGGGGTCTAGGAGTTATCGACTGAAGATTTAAGGAAAAATGTTAATGAAAACTAGGCTCAGTATCTTGTTTCAAGTAATTCAAGCTTCATACTAAAGTGTGAGAAAATACCTAACAAAATTCAGTTAGTAATGTGACTAATTAGGAGTTAATAAATCAATATTTTGTGAGTGGCAGTAGGTAGGGGATGGTGGGGAACATAAACAAACAGGGGGCAAATGTTGCAGGTTCATGGATGCGGAATTTTGGGAATAAAACGTGAGAAAGAAATACCGCATAGCTAACTGTAACTTTACTTACATATTACATCTAGCGATGGACGTGCAAATAGTGCCCCATTAATGCACCATACTTCTTAAAGGTGAGTAGTTAAACACATTTAGTCAGGCACTCCCTGAAACGTTACTACATGGGGGATGTCAGTTACATTTTGCAGTCTCTGCTTGGTTATAAGATTAAGATTTTACTGAAATGAACCCTTAAATGAAAACTAAATAAAATGTAAAGCATATTAATATTGATCAAAGTAAAATATTATTTTCTTCTAGAAAAAGGGACAAACAGTTTTACACAGTAGGTAAACGTAATAGGGATACAATTAGAATGCTTTTAAAATAAGCAATTATTTATATATTCATGACCACTCCAAACTGCAGCCCCTCTTCTCTTTTACATTACTCCTTATATGTAGGAGAGATAATGCTGGGTTTGCCCACTCCCTTTTAAACTCTAGATGGCACAGGAGAGAATCGAAAGTGGGTAGACCCTACTCCAGGCTATATTATATAAAGCAAGTAAATAAAACAAAAAAAAAACACTTACTGCTACTTCTGACATCACTGTTGGGTATAATCTTGGTTTAGACTTGATAATCATCTTGTATGTATAATCAAGAATCGCTTGAAAACCATCCCAGTCTTCAACTAAAACATGGAATATCTTATTAGTTTATACACAGGTTTTTAATGAAAAATTCAAGGCATTAATAATTTCTATTACAGAAACCTCTCCTGAATGAAGCACAATATAGCCTTTCTGGCTGAGATCATCACAAATAATCATCTCCACTCCAATCCAATGCTTCTCATTGAGAAACATGGAGAACTAGGGTATACATGGTGCGATCGCCAGGATTCCCCCATCTGTGAAAGCACTGTATTTCATTTTGAATGGGCATTCAAAACGGGTGCAGCAGGAAACCCTCCAAGTATAAGAGTCAGGAGGGTATAACTAAGGACCTTTATAAAAGTTCTGATTAGTGATGTCCCGAACGGTTCGCCAAATGGTTCGCCACGGACGGTGAACATATGCGCTGTTCGGTCGGCCCCCTATGTCATCATTGAGTAAACTTTGACCCTGTACCTCACAGTCAGCAGACACATTCCAGCCAATCAGCAGCAGACCCTCCCTCCCAGACCCTCCCACCTCCTGGACAGCTCACTAAGAATGCAGCTTCACAATGAATGTAAAATGGATGCTGTCCAGGTGGGATTGGCTGGAATGTGTCTGCTGACTGTGAGGTACAGGGTCAAAGTTTACTCAATGATGACATAGGGGGCGGACCGAACAGTGCATATGTTCACCATCCGTGACGAACCGTTCGGCGAACCGTTCGGGACATCACTAGTTCTGATTTCTCCTCGACACTTTTATAAAAAAATAAAAGGGAGGTTAAATAGGTCCTATAGCACTTCAGCAAGCTTTTAATAAGACTATAATAATGGCAACACAGGTATTTGAGTTAGAAGTCCATTTTAATTGAGGTACACATCCAGAGTAATCATGATTTCCAGGGATTAGTAACTGAAGACACAAATTTAGCACCATACAATATTTTTTTTACTGGGACGAAATTTTCAATTTGGGGCTTTCTAGACTAATTAATCTTTTGACAATTACTAAATTTGACTTGGTGGTATTTGGTCTTTACAGTGGTTTTCTTACCTCCACAAGCAAATCAAACACTCCAGATAAGAGCGTTTCCCTTATCTCAACTGTGTGTCCAATTCTTTCAAGGTAACCAAACATTTCATGGTCTTGAAGGCTTCTCTTATATCCTTCTTCTTACCCAGTTACAGAGCTTTGCTAGACAGATTACTCCAGGTAAAGATTATTTCCATGACTAAATAATGAGCTTTCCAGGACATGTTTATGTGTTGATAAATGTTGTGCCACCCAACACTATGTAGTGCTTCTTTGCCCTGTTTTTTAACTATCTTATAGGTTTTCATGATGCTTCTTGGCTAGATATTTCTCAAAGTGAATCGGGGATGTTTAATATGAGGTCGTGTAAGACTTTAACTGTGCAAAGGTTAACTAAATTCAACAAATTACTGGCGTCTAAAAACAGCTGTTTGTATGTCCCAGATCTTACTTAGGGCTGACTTAGCAAGACACCTTGAAGGTATTGTTCCTTTGCAATTCATTTTGTAAAATTTGTAAAATTGTCGCCTTTTCAACATTACTGATTACTTTATTCTATACAAACGTTCATAACTTATAATGTAATTATAGATTGTAACACAATAAAATACAGAAATGCAAACAACCATTTTTTTCTTATGCAAAGTCTGCAAGGATCCCAACAGTTCCTACAATATTGAAAAAATTAATGTGTAACAAAATATTGAGATCAAATTATAGAATGAATAAAATTGTACTTACTCATTCCATCTTTGAATGGTGAGTAGGCCTCCACGTTTTCTTTTGGTTCATTGAGTGTGCTGGCATCTATATAATATTTGCTTTGATCGCCATTAGGTGTGCGACCATCTTTCCTGTCCGCAATCACTCCGATTGTCGTAGGAATGTCTACCTACAACACATGTTTTAGGGTTTATTCACTACATTGTGATTTGTTGGGAATGTACCTGGGAAATGCAAATATTAAGGCCAAAATAGCTGAGCTGAAAGTATATACTCTTATCATTTTGGGCTACAATGTGCAAATTACTGGCAAATACTTGACAATTATAGATTACCCTTGCTTTAGGGAAGAGATACTCTTAATTTTTATACTGATAGGAGGCAAATATTTTGCTAAATTTCCTTTACAGTAACTCCATAGCAGCAAAGATAAACAAAAACAACAACCAATCAGAAACAGGATAGGACATTATTCCATTGTACAGCGCTATGGAATCTGATGACACTATATAAATAATAAAATAATAATAATATAAAGCCTCGCCACATGAAGCACCCCCTTTTTCTTAGGTGATACATAATGAGCTAAACAGGAGCTAACGTATCCAATCAACATCTAAATGCCAAAAAACAGATTATTAAACTGAAAAGAAAAGAAAAGAAAACACATGAAAGGATATGTACTAATAAATGAAAAAAAAAACATAAGCTGTAACAAACACATCTGTAAGCAAATATAGTTAATAATGAGTGTAAACCAACTAAATAAATGCCACGAACTATATAGATAGTCATAGATGTAGATCTTCCTGTGGAGATACAGTACAACCCCCTACTCTGTTTCTGATAAGTTGTAGTTTATCTTTATTCATTTTTGCAGCTGTGGAATTACAGTAAGGGAAGCTTTGCAAAATTTTACATATGAAATAGTCACATAAACCAGTTACTTGACTAGCACATTATATGACACAAGTTGTGCATGTTCATATTTATCACAGACACGCACATAGTTTGAGTAGAACACAAAGACAAAGTAAAACAATAAAAGGGACAACAGCACATAGAACTGTTGCCTTTGTTGCCAATGGCAAACCATTAAAAAACATTTATTTTCAAAACTCTATTATAATGTGCTAAAAATAAATTAAATATGAATTTTGATGCAATTTTGTTTGGTTTCTATACCAAGAGAATACAGGTGTAAAATATAGCTTTTCCAATGAGTGCAATCTGTGTTCTCATGGTACAGTCTGAGATACTTCAATCCATTGTGGGTGTCCATCTAGGTAAACAAACGTCACAAAATGAAGAAGAAACCTATCTTACAATACTCTCATGTTGAATTACGAATCTTCACATGATGAAGGTGAGACAGTGCAAACACAGCCTCAACCGCAGATCCCCAGCTCATACAGGCCACCCATTGACCACAGAGGTATTCTGAAGAAAGGGGTAATTTTTTTAAAAGTTGGACTCCCAGGAGAAGTACCTGAGACACAGAGCAAGGTACTCATCCCGCAACACCGGGGTGGGAGAAATAAGAGATTTCGGAGAGAATTAAATCCATTCAACCCTTGAGAGTTGTTAATTTGTGAAAACACACTTTGGATGATCATCAGTCCAATGCTTTGAAAAAAGGTTTCTCTTTTGTGCCAGTTTCAGGTGGTTTAAGGATTTGCACCTTTTTGCCCACAAAATTGCACCGTATAAATTTTATCAAAATAAGATTGAGATAAAAGCAAAGGCATGTGATTTATCAAAGAAAGATTATGAATGTTCGCAAACACTTTTGGGTCTGGTTTTGGAGAATGAGGGCCAAATGCATTTGAAGCATACTAAATTGAAACCTAAAAGCCAATGTACCCCGAATTTCAGCAATTTTCACAATACTGATTTGTTTTTAGAAGCCATTGAAAATTACATTTAAAATGTTAATATCGAACATCGTCATCCAGATATACGATCCAACAGTAATCTAACCAGAAAGAACAACATGCACTAATTTCATAAAAAAAGGACAACAAAATATTTATAAAACCAGAGGATGAGGGGTGTAATATAGTGATAATGGACACTATATCATTAAGGTCACTCAGTGATACGGAAACCTAAAGAATTCTCAATTCAGACCCAACTAAACTTTCCGGTATGAGAACATTTTGGATGTGGTTGCAGTAGGGGATTGCTGAATTGGGACGAATAAGAATTTGTTCTTAATCATCACCCTAAGATATCAACCTTCTGCTGGGTGCCAAAAATCCATAAGAGCTTAACTGAACAGCCAGGCTGCCCAATTGTATCAGAATCTGAATGGTAGCACCTATCTGCATGGAATCCTCATACCTTTCGTAGAATCTCTGCTATCCTACAATCAGGACACTAAGCAGGCTTTGGCTCTTTTCTTGAATATGCGGGGATCTGATGCAGCACATCTGTGTAGTTTGATGTTGAGTCACTGTACTCTTCTACGATATGAGAAGGGACTTCTCAAAACATGATGGAACACACAAAGCTCACAGTGACCCTTCTTGAGTTTATCCTTATCTACAACAAATGTTATCACCAGGTGAGGGGCATTGCGATGGGGATAACTTTTCATTCGCCTGGGTTGGTGGGAAGAGACACTAGTCCACTCTGAAGCTATTGCACAATTTCTCCCTTTAATTTTCCTCTGGAGTTGCTATACAGATGACATTTTGATTGTGTGGTTATGAACTCTTGAGGATTTTAATAATGTTGTGGTTGCTCTAAATAACAAAGATCAAAATGTAAGATTAACGTCAGAGTTTGGTAGGTCAGCTTTGAATTTTCTGGATCTAGCTATCTCCATCAATGACCAGAATATCCATTTTATCATACTCTATTGAAAAACAAACAGGAGCCTCCAACAGTTTTCTATGCTGGGATAGTCTTTATCCTTAATCATTCAAGTGCAGTATACCAAATGGCAAATATCTAGGAGTCTATAGAAACTGTAGTAGTGTTAAGGACTGCAAGGTCAAAGCTAACATCCTGAGAGGCAGCACTTTCAGGAGAAAGCTTTGTAATTTAAACTATTAATTTATTGGACTGCCTCAAAGCATGTTAGGCAGGTATGGGAAGCAGCAGACAACTAATAAATGAAAGTTGATTCATGTTCTCCCTTCTCATCTCTCTTTACTCCCCACCACTTTACGCTCATGTGTTTTAACTTGATCCACATACACCCACTGGAAACAATGAGCTCTTTATAGTCTTAACAGCTATTTATTGGTGTTATTTTATCTCTAGCTAATTACTCAGTTACAGCAATTGCACACATGTACTGGCATTTCATCTCTAGCTAGGAAAAAAAATAATGAAAAAAAAATAAAATTATAATTAGTATCTATAATGTCTCTGAAAATGAATAACTGTGTGTTGCAAATAATGTATTTGTAGTATACATATTCTACTTGAAAGACAGATCCCAATCTAATCTGAGTTTATGGTTTAATGAACAAAATTAGTTACAATTAAATAAGATTATAATCAACTTTTTACAAAAAATTCTGAGCTGTGGTATAAAACTGAGAAGTGTATCTCACTTGGACTGATACAGCACGTAACACTTTTTTGAGTTACGCTGTGACAGTTTACAGTTTGTTTGGGATTCCAGACTCTTTGATCTAAGTGGATGCAAATTTTGCCATTTAGAAGATTTGAGAATAATTGCTGTTTATGCTTCCTTCCGTTCCTTCCTTTGACATATTACACTTTAAACACAATTCACATCATCACTAGTTGTTTATATTTTTGGGTGTTTTTTCATTCTTGTCTTTGTAGGTAGTTATAGCTCTTCATCTACTTATTTGTAAATCCAATCTTGCTTTCCTATGTGGGCAAAGTGAACTAAAGATCTGTGGGTGAGTAAGGAACTTGTTATCACAAACAGCAGCTGTAAAACTCATGAACTTGCTTTACAAGGTAAAATGAACAATAGCTTAATCTTACCATAATAAGTCATGAATTGTACATCACGTGACACTTTCTTTATCTATCTAACTGTGTCATTGTTCCCCTAGAAGGCGATGTGAACTATGCATGTGCAATAAGAGAATAAGACATTGAACTTAAAGGGATACTGAAATTAAAGCTTAATGATTAAAGAGACATAGAAACATGAGCTTGCTACAGTGGTTTTGCTGTACCAGCCATTGGCCTTTGAGTGCCACCCCAACTACCATTTTCATGGCACAACACTTTTAAGCAATATAAAAAGTGTCTTATAGCGTAAGTGATCTCATGTATGTACCAGTTACACAAGTGCTTCTATATCTGCACCCATGCCATATATGAACATAATTTACATAATACAGAAATGTTTGCAAATTGCTGCTGTTATTACAGCAGAATAATGGTGACAGGATAACAATTAATGTTATAATTTTGGAGTACCACTTCAAACAATGCTAAGTTGGTAGCTGGTAGATGGAATATTGCCAACTAGATTAGACCCCATCCACAGGGACAAACAACATGGTCTCATGTACAAGATTTTTTTTTAAGAGAATCTTGCCCAGGACACAGATAATCCTTTTATATTTTTATTGTAATTCATTTTTTATTGTATTATTTCAATAGGCTTTAGAATAACAACAGGTTATTAACTATAAACATACTTATTCCTTACCTGTGGGGCATCTTCTCCTGCATATCCAGCACGCATTGAACATGACCCAATGTCAAAGACCAATGCTTTAATCTCATCTTCAACAAAAAGGCAAAATATTTGTGATTATATTTTAAAAATTATTTTAAAGTAAAAAAAAATGGCCAAATACAGGAATAATTAATAATATATTCATATAACAAAAGCATATTAACATACACAGTTTTTTCTAGAAAACTGATTATATGTAACACATTTATCAGTCACAATAAACCACCTGCCTAATATAGTGTGGGTCCCCCTTGTGCTTCCAAAACAGATCTGATGCATTGAGACATAAACTCCACATGACATCTAAACATATTGTGTGGTTTCTGGCACCAAGACATTTGTAGCAGATCCTTTAAAGAAACACTATAGTCACCAGAACGACTACAGCTTAATATAGTGGTTTTGGTGTCTATAGTACGTCCCTGCAGCCTAAACACTGTAAATACTATCTTTTTAGACAGTTATTTAGATGGCCATCTTTAAGCTCTGCCAGGGGGCACTGAACATTCCCCATAGAGGTGCATTGATTCAATGCATCTCTATGAAGAAATGCTGATTGTCGCAGCATAATGTTTTGCCGCGCGTGTGGAATAGCCTCCCAATGCTTTCCTATGGTAACGCATTTGATTGACTGAGAACATCAAAACTGATAATCCTAGCCCCGGAGACTGAGCCAGCTGCTGTATGGGAAAAAAGGTGAGTAAACGCAGCTTTTCAAAGCAATCTAAGGCGGTGCAGGGGACCTAATCCTGCATTCCAGCACTGCAGTGTCAGGAACACTCCACTTGACTTGCCATTTTGGAGATGCTCTGACCCATTCATCTAGCCATCACTATTTAGTCATTGTCAAAGTAACTCAGATCTTTTCACTTGCCCATTTTTGCCCTGCTTCCAACACATTAAATTCAAGAAAAATATACTGAAAGTGTACCCCAAATAAAGCGGAACCGATACAGGAATTGCCTCCAAAAAGCAATAAATTAGAACAAAAGAGCTTTTAAGTTTTATTTAGACATCTACATTTTGTTTTAAAGGACCACTATAGTGCCAGGAAAACATACTCCCCCACCCTCAAGGACCCCCTGCCGCCCGGCTCTGGAAAGGGGAAAGGGTTAAAACTTACCTTTTTCCAGCGCTGGGCGGGGAGCTCTCCTCCTCCGATCCTCCCATTCAGCTGAATGCGCACGCGTGGCAAGCTGCGTGCGCATTCAGCCGGTCGCATAGGAAAGCGTTTTCAATGCTTTCCTATGGACGCTTGCGTGCTCTCACTGTGATTTTCACAGTGAGAATCACGCAAGCGCCTCTAGCGGCTGTCAATGAGACAGCCGCTAGAGGAATTGGAGGAAGGATTAACCCATTTATAAACATAGCAGTTTCTCTGAAACTGCTATGTTTATAAAAAAAATGGGTTAACCCTAGAGGGACCTGGCACCGAGACCACCTCATTAAGCTGAAGTGGTCTGGGTGCCTAGAGTGGTCCTTTAAATAAAGTTAAAAAACTCTTTTGTTCCATTTTATAACTTTTTTGGAAGTAATTCCTGTATTGGTTTTCTCCTTTATTTGGGGTACACTTTTAGCATAATTTTATGGGTTTGTTGATTGCGAGGGTTAACCCAATTTGCAGGTATTGCCTCTATGGTCAAATTCAAATATGGTCTTCATTTTTTTCGGAACCCTTTTGTTTCTCATATGAAATTCAAGAATGGACTGTTCCCTTGCTGCCTAATATATCCCAACCCTTGTCAGGTGCTATCTTAACGAAATAATCAATGTTATTAACTTCATCTGTCATCAGAATATGCCCATGTCAGACTCCTAAAATACATGGCTCACTCCGTGGCCAATACTAACAAGAAAACATTTTGTCTTTGTGGCTTGTAACATATTAAAAAGACACTCCATGCTCCATAACAACCTATGCTCCTTATGTAGATTATGGAGAAAAGAAAAGAAGGCAGATTATGAGAAAAATAGTAGATCAAATAAACGGACTAAATAGCCCCCGTGCCTTCAAGGGTACCTAGATCCAACCCCCCTGGTTAATAGGAAAAATAGAGTGCAGTAGTAGAAACGGCATATCAAGTTGATGTTGTTAGCGGCATGGTAAATCCCTTGACGCGCGCGTTTCACCCGACCAGGCTCGTCAGAAGGGAATTGGGAAATATAATCTAAATTTTACACAAAAGAACACTCCAAGCACCATAACTACAGCATTCTGTTGTGGTTATATAGTCAGGAGTACGCTGAGGTACCCTCAATGTAAGTAGTCAAACTGTTTGCTAATGATTTGACTTTTTACCTGGGAAGTGCTGGATGCCCATCACTTCCTCACTGAGAAGTGGGAGCTCCATTAGCTCTCCTGAGCTAGATTTTTCCATTCAGGGCCAGCATAATAGCTAACAACATCAGCTGATCACTCACAGCCAATAAGCTATGCCCTGCAATGCAGAGTGTTTCCAGCTCTCTTGGAGCAGGTGACTGGAACCTGGTGGACATTAGATACGTTGCCAAACCATAAGCAAACAACTAATAATATAATTCCTTCCACTCTCTCCAACATCCCCACCGGAGGACTCGAGGAGTGATATCCTTGGTGGGGATCATACCACCTACGCCTACATACATTGAGCAATATCCTATTTGCTCTTCACTTGTGAATATACCTCCATTTTTTATAATTTTATTTTGTATTATCCAGAGAGCACTATTTTGTGTTTTTATCCTTTTTTTATATATCACCAACTATTTAAATACTGGCCTACTGCCATTGGAAAGGAGATACCACCAGTGGAGACCCCCTTTTGAGGACATCCAAGGACCATCTACATATCCATAGGCGGGGATTGTACCGTCCAGGCGCACATATCTGGAGCTGAGTATAGGCTCCAGAAAATTGTGAGTGCAATTCCTTTCCCTTCATTTACCATCACTTAAGATCTCAACATACTACACTATATCCGTGTCTTTTTCCTTCCCTCCTCCATATCGCTCTGAGCGTGGGAATTTTCTTCACAGGCGCTGCTCCCTGATCCTACTATCTACATCCATTAGCAAACAGTTTAATAACTCACATTAGGAGCCCACGACACTCTAAGCATCATAACCACTGCAGCACACTGTAGTGGTTATGGTGCCAAGAGTGTTTCTTGAGAGAAAGAAAAATTAAAAGAAATATGGTATAAATAACTGTTTTGCACTAGTTACCATGTGTACACAGAGACAGTAAAGATTGTTTTCTACGTTAAAAACGTAACACGCCAACTAAATTTCAGAGTGAGTTAAAGGGGCCTATTAGGGTTATATCTAAAAAAAAAACAGCTTCAGTAGGAATTTTGACCTCTGCCCATTTGTCCCAGGCTATTTTCCAAATTTTGGATTTTTGGTTAGTGGGTATTCCAGCCATACATTCTCAGATTTTATTTTGTGAGACCAACTGCATGCAATCGGTAAGTTTTGGGGGAGTGACATCGTAACGCTGTCAACTTGTTGCTCCATGTGTCATGTGAACTTAATTTAAAAAAAAATTCATTAAAAAATGAAATTAAATTTAAAAATAAATTTAAAAAAACAGCTTTCAAAATCTCCAGATCTCTTGTCTGCAGTCTTTGCAATCCCTCCTCTTCTTCCCTTTCTACCGCTACAGGGAGTGTAATGAATTAATTTACAAATGTTTCTACTGAAATCTGTACTTTTTGTAAAATGAAAAAAAAAAAGGACAGACTCTTCACACATAAAGCACTTCACCAGTTAAAACTTATTTAGGTGTTTGGAATGTTCTATTAAATTAGGGACATGGAGGATAATTTGATAAGATTCTTGTTGATAAAACTGAGTACCTGAGCTATGGTGCTGATGGTTAACCATACTTTAGTTTATTTTCATTGCATGCATGGTAATGTACAGATGCAAAACATTATATAATAAATGGCTTATAATAAGCTTCATATAACAAGCGTGCCGCAAACTTTTCAATTTATTTCACAGGTATCCACAATTGCAGAGTCTACCCAAGTTTTCTTTTGTCACAAATCTGATTTAATTGATAAACTGAATTAAAATCACATAACCCATTGGGAAAATATTCTGTTATGATGAATATGCCTGGGAGATAAATTGGCACCACTTGTAAAGGCTACATTGATGAATCATTGTGAACAGAGCTCTCCATATGGGTGTTAAATATCCTACTGCATTATGTAGCATATATACGGACATGAAATGTGTGATTCTAATGTATGATCATTATAATACTATATAAAAATATGTGCATTCCAGTCTGAATCAAAGCAAAACAAACAAAAAAAAGCCGTAAAACAGTTCTATTCTCATTGCAGTGCACTGACAGGCATATAAAATACAGCAATGTGAAAAAAAGGCAGTTTTAGACTCCTTTTCAGTTTCAAAGTTCCAAGCTCACCTGCACTCATTGTCTCTTAAATAAAGCACCTCGATACCAGGATACAGGACGCACAAACAGTGGATGTGTAGCTCAGTAATAATAGGCTTAGAAGGAAATAGGTGTAAATGCAAATACTGGATTAACACATCAGAAAATGCAGCTTTATAACCAGGGAGAGTACAAAGATAAATGTGCTGCATTGTGGGAAATGAGGAGTAACAGAGTTAATGATTAACTTTCATATATATAATTGTCAAATCCTTATCATATACTAGATATTTATACTGGTATTATTCTATATATATATGCCACACCTAAAGGAAACTGTCTGGGCCTGCCTTTACCACAGAATAAATCAGGGTTTAATTTAACATACCACCTTCAGTTTGTTATGATACTAACAAATCCCACCATGATCTATAATTTTGTGATAAGGGCAGGTATGACCTGTTGAGTTTTGAACTGGGGACAGTTGGAGTTAAGTTGCCCTTTTTGCAGTGACACCATTACACTCACAACAGATGCCCAGCATAAAGTTTCTCCACCAGCCACTGAATTGCTTTTCTGCACAGCATCACTAACAGTTACCGCTGTGGTTCCAAATTCCATCAGCCACTACTGTTGTTACTTAGGTCTCAATTTAATTATTTTGCCTAAGTTTTTCAAATGATTATAATCTGTTGGAAAACATTTTCAAATGATTTATATTCAAAAATGTCCACAGACTTTAATGACAACTTTTGAAGATAAATCGTTTGAAAGATTTTTCTTACCGGAGGTCATTTAAACAGCTTATCCTAAATAATTTAATCAAGACCTTACTTACCAGTCACTACTACATCATCCTTACCTGCCACATTACCTTATATGACCACCAGCTACTACTTTTCAGATTGCCATAGCCAGTCGCACCAACTTTTGGTACAACCTCTATGGCCATTTAACATCCACTCTGTAGCGTCCTCTTCTATAGCCAAAAGCCCCTGCTAGATTATAATTTTGTCATTGCCCATCAGTGCACATCATCCTTATCCCCTCCTATACCTAACATACCATGCCCACTATCTAATCTTGTCCGTTTTTTTAACAATATTCACTATTCCCACATTCCAGGCCCTTCTCTCTCCTTTCTACTTGTCAACAACTACTTTTTATACACCCATTTCCTTCTACCCCTTATATTCCCAATATTGCCTACTGCCTCTTTCAATGCTCAATCTCCTTTACTCAGTCTGTATACAGTTGTGCTCAAAAGTTTGCATACCCTCGGAGAATTGGTAATATATGTATAATTTTTAAAGAAAATCTGAGCAGGCAAAACACATTTCTTTTATTTCTTATGGGATTCATATTAAACTGCAAGTTATAACAGAATGGCACAATCATAAAACAAAACCTGTAGTGAGTGGATAGGGCTGTAATGGTGTAGTACGAGATAGAGGCTGTAATTAGAGGGTTAGGAGCTGTACTGGCAAGATAGGTACTGCAGTGTAGGGGACAGGGCCTGTAGTAGGGATAGGGGATTGTTCTGGGGAATGGCACTGTAAATAGGGGTATAATGACTGTATTGTGTGATAGGGGACTGTAGTGGGGACAGGGGCTGTATTAGGTGATAGGGGCTGAAGTTGGTGGAAGGGAATCTAGTAGGAGATAGGGGCTGTAATTGGGGGTTAGGGGCTCCAGTGGGGTTTAAGGGACTGTATTGGGGGGTTGTAGAGGGAAATAGTGGGGTTTAGTAAAAAAAAATATGGACTGTAGTGTAGGGTATAAAGATTTGTAATGATGGTATAGAAGCTGTAGTGAGGGGACAGGGACTGTAGAGGTGGAGAAAGGGTCTGTAATTGAAGGTTATGAGGCTGTAGTGAGGGATAGTAAGTAACTATAGTAGGGGATAGGAGGTGAAACAAAAGTATATATATATATATATAATATTTTAAATAAAAAAAACTAATTAAAGTTTATCCCTGTGGCAAAAGTAACCTCACCATGGGCTCTTGCCCCAGAACTATGGGCCCTGAAAAAGCCATAGGAAAAGACTTAGTTTGTGCCATTTACCCATGCTGTTCGAGAACTGAACAGACGCATGAACTATGGACCACAAGGGAGCTTGTTAAACCCCCAAATCACCTCTTAACAATTCTAACCGTAGTGTTCTAATTGTTTGCCAGGGTGGCCGCAGTTCGTAGGACGAGCGGCCATCTTGTTCCCACCTGGAAGGGCACTGTTTGGTGGAATCGTTCGTCTGGATGAAGGGAATAAGCTCCATGGGTATGACTGTTGACTAAATATGGTAGTTTCTTCGTTTTTAAACTACCGCACTTGACCAAATTATGACTTCCAAGAAAAACCCAAATTCCTGAAGCGATCTGGGTGATTTTTGGATATGTTGGTCACCTAGATCGGGGCTATCATAGGATGTGACTTGTGGGGTTTTTATGTTTTTTGGGGTGTCTATAAAATGTTTTGTGTCTGGAGGTAATAGAGATTATACAGTTCCTGACTATCGCTCAGGCAGAGGGGAGGGATTACCCTGTTTTGGAAACCCCTTGCATGGGGTGTGCATAAAAGGCAGTGTGTGGCCTCTAATAAACAGACTACTTCCCAGCATTAAGCCTTGGCTCATGTATTTGGCAGGGGATTAGCAGTAACATATTGACCTTAACTTGACGAAGACCATAGTTGTCAAAACATTGCTTTTTTTACACAAAAACATAATTGGAAGCTGGTACTCTTCTGAAAGAATGGTGCAGGTATCAAGGTTGCCCACAAACCTCCAAAAAAAAAAATACAAATATAAAAAATGATACTGCACTAAAAAAATTAATTAAAAATATTGCTGCTTTTTACACCGAAGACACTTATATAAAAGATGTGCTGAAATATTTCTTGAACATTGTTTGACTGCTGACCTACTGCTCACATCCTGACAGAACATGTAATCAATGAAAGAAATGCTTTTCTAACCCATATAAAGTAATTTATGTAACTTGAGTTAACTCGTGAGTAAAGTATGTGGGTGTGAATTTAGTTTCAGTAAGAGTGATGACACTATCACACATGTACGTTTAAGGTACATGCTATTATTTACATATAGCCTAATTGGGTAAACAGACAATGATATCAGAGTTAATGAGCAACGAGGTCAACTTTCAGTGACGTTTTAGAGCGCTTTTTCACTTGGATGTCCTTATATAGATATATCAATGTTTTGTAACAATTTAACTCTCTCCTACAATGCCATAAACTTAGTGGTTGTGGACCAAGAACTTTGTGGGGAAAGCCACTGGTAGGGGATGTAATATGGGCAGAGAATTAATGTAAATGCTGGAAATTAATTTCATTATGGAGAGTCAACACGGTCAAGAATCAAGTAAGATTCTGGAACCATACGGGAATAGCGGCTACGTCTTTTACTTGTCATGTTTAAAGGGCACGGGTAATTTAGTAAGGTTTTTGGTGCTGCCTCCTATAGTGATCTTAAGGAATAGAATCAGAACATATCATGCAAATATATTTCCTTTGAAGAAACATACATACTCCAGTGTCATGTTGTGACTTGACTGGTCACAGACTGGTTTACCGGTCCAATAATATAAAATCTTAAGAGCCGATTAAAAAAAACCTTGTTAAAAACAACCAAGGGATAATTAAAAAAAAAAGTTGATTAAAGCAATCATATAATATTGGTTTCACGTAACACCTGATAAACTAAAAACACTTGGTTCGCTACATGGGACCCTATTATGAGGATGTAATTGCAGCAAAAAGGTTTCCCAATTACAGAAATGGTTAGAATTTATGAAATACGCTTTACATAAATTTCATGAGAAATAGCAGATGACATTACCGCTTGCGATATTGTAACATCCATAGTTAAACACAGTTGACTGGCTTGATAGATACGAACCATTGCACACATACGCACCACCTATGGCCAAAAAAGTAAAACACTACTGTTTTGTTTGTTAACGTACAAACCCTTTAACCTTGTGTACTGGTCTATAGTATATTGTACTGTCTTGTTCTCAATTTTCGAGCACTGCAGAATACATTGGCACCTTATAAATGCCAGTAATAAATAAAGCTGACCACCTTATTTCTAGTTTAATAAGAAAACTATCATGAAATGGTACTATTTATCATCTTCGACTTCCTAGTATAGGCGCAAACCATAAACATAAGGAGAATGCAGGCCTAACCTAGATCCAAAAGTAGTATGTTATTCGGGGGGAGGGTCCAACAATTTGTATCTAGCTTGATATATTAATTTTATTATAAAATTGTGCCATGTTGATGTGTAGGTATGCCCATCTCTGAAATGCTTAACAGAGCATGGCTTTGCAAGCTCATCTGTTATTTGTGAGAATATTTTAAGTGGCTGTTCAGTAGCTGCAAAAAAAAAAAACAAAAAAAAAAAAACAATCAGCTGCTAATAAAAAAAATAAATACATTTACACTTACAAATAAAAATGCATGATTTGAAACTTATCGAGACTCACTACATATAATTAGATTCTGGAATTTGAGCAAGGTATATATCATCTATACAACTCCTGGCAATTTCTCTTGTATCTGAAGGTGATCTGCTCACTCATTTTAACCCCTTAATGACAACTTCTGGAATAAAAGGGAATCATGACGGAATATTTCCGTCATGTGTCCTTAAGGTGTTAAATTTGAACATATGTATGATCACATTCTAGTAAGTAAGGAAAATAGAGCTTGAACTGCATGACGATTAAAGTCTTTCTAGAAATTGACAATTTGTTGGACACATTTAAATGCAAACGGTGCGGTGAATCTTACTTTAATGGCCCAAGTTGCAGTCAAATATTCAGCTAGAGCTCAAAAACCAAAAAAAAAAAAAAAAAAAAAAGAAACAGGCATACAAAAGTACTACTTAAGATTACCAGAGTTTAACAAATTAAAATGGTAACCAAATTATTTACACTTAAATATTTATCAAACTGTTCTTCAGTACAGTTTTATTTCATGACATTTTTAGCATACAACTGTAAAAGGTCTAATTACAAAACAATGTCATTCAGGAAGATATAACAAAAATAAAATAAAAGGCAATAGTATATTACAGTGCACAGAGTACAACAAATAACTACCAAAAACAAATACAAAATATATAAAAGATTGCATACTGTGATCTACGGTAAGGCTTTTGCAGTGTACTTTAACTGGAGGCAGTGAGAGGGACAACCACCTATACGTGTGATATAGCACACTGGGTGCTCAAAATATGATGCTAGTACACGTCTGGAGCACTTTTGGTACTACAGTAATGTTCTAGGCTTCATATTTCATTTTAATCCTACCATGGACTTCTTATGACATTTGCGCCCAGAACACCATTAAATAATTCTCATACAAGGATAGACCTTCATGACAAAACTAAAAAACAAAAATATAAGAGTTATTGCTTGGGAACAGGTGCATGTCATATGCAACTGTGGTAACCAGACATGTGTCTATTGAGGATTTAAAGAAATATATAGTTATTTTAACTACAAAAGAAGTCACTTTGTTTCCTGAGTCTGCTAAAGCTATTTTAAAAATGGCCGCAAGATACTAGTAGCAGTCTGAAAGGTACTAAGGACATTTTCTCTCCACACATGCTTTCCCTCCTTCTTCATACTCTTGCTTTGAAATCCACATCTGCTGGAAGGTTCCCTATAAATTAAAAAGAATACAAATTACAACACTTTATACCAGCAAAAGCTATATTGATGAATGGAAATTTAAATATAAAATGTCTAATTGAAATTATTTTTATTGTTCAGTTGCGTTTTGTGCATATTTGTCAATACAGCTCAGGAGATTTAAACTGCAATGTTAAATAGAAAAGTAGACCAAAGTTGCCTAAAAGAAGTGCAATATTTTGGGAACCAAAATGTTCCAAAAGTTATGATGGGGAACTGCTGTGCTAAAACTTTACCTTACCCGTTAGGAATATTTGTATGCCAATATTTTTGGAAACCAACTTATGTGTGTGTGGACAAACTAATACAAAATCATTTGCACAAGTTCACTGTAGTGAACAGTAACAAGGCCAATACTCAATAATTCACCTTAGAATGTAATGAGAGTCCCTGCTCCAGGGCCTAATTTATACACAATAAGAAGAGAGAGCAGCAATTGGATTTCAACTATTTAAGATCTTAGAGTTGATAAAGACCTTAAGTAGGCAAAATCGTTATCACGTCCATTGTTGATTACAAAACAAACCTCACTTGTTGAAGGTTTGTGTTGCTGCTTACTCTTACGTTATTGTGTGCCATTTGGCTAGAACACCATCTTGCAATACATCACGATAACTTACTGAGGGTTGTGACAGGATGAAAAGTAATGTTATGTGAATGGTCATAAATAGGTTAATACAATATGGATTTTTTACTTTTATTTACATGCAAGAACTGTATTTTATGATTTTGTAATTTGGAAACTTGAATGACATGGGCTTAGTTAACTTTCTCAAAAACAATTTAAATATCAAGATGAAGGATGACTGCAATATAAAGTTGCTAAAGATAAGCAAGCAAGAGATCTCCAATATAGCCGGAACCTAATTTCGAGCTTAAAATTAATGTGATCGCATTTACATTTATTACAGAGATTAGAATAGGAAGAAACAAGTGTTTGTTGTACCATTATTTAAGTAATTTAGCTAAAATAAACTTTGCGAGCGGAGAACTCTGATTTTACAAATGACTAACTCACCAGAGAGGCGAGAATAGAACCACCAATCCACGAGCTGAACCTCCTTTCCACTGTGGTATTGTTAGCAATCAGCTTTAATCTCATGCTCTGAAAACAGGGTGAGAAAAAGAAATGAGGTGAAAAAGTATGCCAACAACCACACACAATTAAGTGCCACAACAACTGCTGCAGTGTCCAAGGGCTCCAACAATCTTGGTAAAAAAAAAAAAAAAAAAAGTGTCCAGTGGTAAAGTGTTCTATTATCCACAACAACTTGAGTGTCAACGTTTCCTAGTCAATAATATACAAATAAATACATTTGTCAATAACAAGTTTTAACTTCAAAAGTCAGATAGCTTGAACCCATGGCAGCTTAAATGGGACACTTTCTTTATATGAAAAGATAATTGGTAATACATGAGCTTTCTTTTATAAGACAATCTTGTAATTTCCCTTGCTTCAGTGTTAGTAGAACTGTACAGGATACTCTGACTTATACACAATCTATAGAACACATTAAAATAGGTCAAATGCTACATGGAGTGACCTTTTAAGTGCATAAATTCAATTAACTGAATATCAGGATATCAACAAACTGCCATGAGAAATCCCTACTGATTTCAATATGGATTTAGTTCCACGGATCAGAGTTTAACTTCTGAAAACCATGTAAAGTTACCACAACATTTATCTTACTCATTCCTAACAACGACAGTTCTTTAAATTATTAGAAATCATAGAATTAAATTTTTTAAATTTGAGCAGCTAGTTTCTTGGAAGTTTTAAAAACAAAAAAAAAACACCACAGTGGCTAAATAATGGCATGCAAGTCGCTATAAAAGATTTATATACAATATTCATATCTTACTGGAGGCGTTTTCTGCGACAGTTCTCTTGTCAATCTGTCTGTAAATCCCTGTAGTAACGTGTTTCCCCCTGCTGCAATCACACTGCCATATAACCCCTAAAAGCAAAACACACTTATTTCTCTATTCCAAATGAAGATGCAACAATGATCAAAGTTGTGTGTATTGGCAATGCTAATAGCCAACACTGCATAAATATAAGTGTCAGTTCACATCCATTTTGAAAAGGTTTGGAAACGTGTGTGGCCAAACCAAAGTATTATTCAGCAGTAAAACATGCTCCCCCCCAAAAAAAAACGTAAGTAATACACTCTTCGGATATATATCTTACCGGTCTAATGTCAATATCACACATTCCAACACTTGTTGTCACAACATGGCTGACACCGAGCATAGTATTACCAGACAGACCCTAAGAAAAACAGAAATACTACTTTATTAAACCTTCAAAGAAAAGTTGCTTTTTTTATTGTATCTGCATAATAGTAAAAATCTACACGAACATTTACACAGATTTGTTACACACAGCAGTTAGAAGACTTTGAGAAGTGCACATCATTTTATACCAGGTCACTAAGAGGATATCAGCACATAATATCTACAGAACTTTGAGGTGCATGAACACATTCACAGATAATTGGGAATTGAATAAGAGTGTGAAAAGCAAAACAGAGGAAGCAGAAGATGGCTGGTACGGGACATACCTTAACATTAGAAGGATCAAACAATCCTTCTGGAATCTTTAGACGCTCTGCTCCAAAATCACAGTTGTAACCATTGGGAAATTCATAATGAACCGTTGGCATCTGGGCGGCTACCCTACAAGATTATCAAACATAGCTTGTTAACATGTGTAAATAAACAAAATACTAAAACTGCCTGAAGAAAAATTATACAGAATTTTAATAGTTTACCAAGGTTATGTGAATACTACTAAACTTCCCAACGTGTCTCAGACCCATAGGTCCTTACTTATAGGAATCCTGTAAGTAAGGACCGACACAGGTTTGAAACACATAGGGAGTTTTGTGTCTTTAGTGTGGTGCCATTAACTTTTATTCCTACAGTGAGTGCTTGTCTATGGCATGCTTTATGTAGTGTTAAAAATCACTACTGCATGAAGGAACCTTTTCAACTGGCTTCTCCCCTGGCTGCAGGTAAGCAGAGCTTTGTCTCACTCTACCATATACACTGTTCATTCACAACATTAAATCCACCTGCCTATAATGGTGCTGACAAAACAGCTCTGATGCGTTGAGGCATGGACTCCATTAGACCTCTGAACATGTCCTGTGGTATCTGGCACCAAGACATTAGCAGCAGATCCTTTAAGTCCTGCAAGCTGTTAGTTGGGGTCTCCATAGATCCAATTTGTTGATCCAACACATTCACAGATGCTCAAATCTGATGGCAACTGGGAAATCTTGATACCAAGGCAACACCATGTTCCTCAGATAAATCCTCAACATTTTTTTAGTGTGGAAGGGTGCATTATAATACTGACAGAGGCACACTATTGCCACAAGGAGTATACATGGTCTGCATCAATCTCTAGGTAAATGGTACTTGTCAAAGTAACATCCACATGAATGCCAGGACCCAAGGTTCCCAGCAGAACATTGCCTAGATCAGGGATAGGCAACCTTCGGCCCTCCGGGTGTTGTGGACTACATCCTCCATAATGCTCTTACATCCATAATGCTGGCAAAGCATTATGGGAGGTGTAGTCCAAAACATCTGGAGTGCCGAAGGTTGCCTATGCCTGGCATAGAGCATAATACTGCCTCCACTGGCGTGCCTTCTTCCCATAGTGCATCGTGCTCCCATCTCTTCCCAAGGTAAATTATGCACACAGATCCGGCCATCTGATCAAAAAGAAAATGTGATTCATCAGACCAGGCAAACCTCTTCCACGGCTCCATTTCTGATGTTTACCTCCTCATTGAAGGTGCTATCAGCGGTGGTCAGGGGTCATCATGGGCAGTTTGACCTGTCTGTGGCTACGCAGCCCCATACAAACTGTGATGCACTATGTGTTTTGACATCTTTCTATCATTGCCAGCACTACGTTTCTATGGCGATTTGAGCTACAGTAGCTCTATTGTGATTAGACCAGACAGCTAGCCATCACTACACACAGGCATCAATGACACAAGGAAGCCCATGATTCAATGACACCTGATTCACTGGTCGTTCTTTCTGGCACCAATTTTAGTAGGTACCAACCACTGAATACCGGGATCACCCCAAAAGACTTGCTGTTTTGGAGATGCTCCGATCCACTCGTCTAGCCATCATTATTTGGCCCTTTTTAAAGTCACTCATTTTTGCTTAGCCATTTTTCATGCTTCCAACGCAAAAGATTCAAGAACTGACTATTTACGTGCTACCTAATATATACCCCAACCCCTGACAGATGCCATTGTAACCATGTCATCACTTTAACTCTCAGTGGGTTTAATGATGTGATGGATTAGTGTAGTTTATTCATTCTCTATGTTCCATGTATTAATGATATAGTACTATTTATTTCTGTTTGCCTGGTCCAACTATTGCATGAATTCACACTCATGATATCCACAAGCACGCATGCACAGCAATAGAATTTAACGGAATTTTTTTCCTGCAAACTTGAAGAAGGGGGAAAAAGGAAAACTAAACCACGGTTAAAATAACGCTTGTTGGGGCTAATTAGAAGTAGTGAGATTGATAATGATCCAGTGATGTCGACTTTTCCTTTATCATCTTCTCTCTTATTACATAGTCCTAATTTTTCGCAGTTTATGGTCCATTGCTACCTACCTAGTATTACAGGGCTAGTCCCTAGTATACATTTGTTGTTGGTACAGCTAGCATGTTGAAGTGGAATTTTGTTTGATATGTTGGTTCAATTTATGCAGTAGCGGATTTAAAAAGTCTCAGCTGGCAAGAATATATAAAAAATTCCAAGTTTCTATCTGTGATATTGCTTTTCTTAAGGAACCCTAACATGACAATAATATATTTGATTATGTAATATCTTTTGGAACATTTTGAATCTTAAGGTTTTTCATATGTAGAGTACATGTAGTTAATAAACGCAGTTTCTCTGACCGTCGAGGGTTATAGTCCGTAGCACACTAGTAACAAGTTATTCGGATCTAATAAATATTTGACCAATTATTAGTTTTTAAAGGGATACTATAGTGCTAGGAGAGCAAAGCAGTTTTCCTGGCACTACTGGGTCAGACTGCTCCTTTGCCAACATCAGCCAGTGGGGAGTCCTCATGTGTGGCAAGTGTCGTGCTCGCATTCGGATTCCTTATAGGAAAGCATTGTTTCAGTGCTTTCATATAGAGAGCTGACTGACGTTGGATGTCCTCATGCACAGCGTGAGGACGACCAGCATCATTTAGGCGATTTTTGGTCGCCTACCCACCCGGAAGTCCCCCTAGTGGCTGTCTGGTACACTAGAGGTGGAGTAAACCCTCAGAGGTAATTATAGCAGTTTCTTAATCCTTTTTTATTTTAAGATATTTAGAGAAAACTTACTGTTCATCATACGTGGAGTCTGAAACCTGAAGGACAGAAGCCTGGAAGTCCTGTATCACACACTAAAACAGATACAAATTTGACATATGAGAAAAAAAAAAAAAATAAATTACTTACAAAAATTACTCCTAAGCCTAAAACCATTCAGCATTACGATCCCATATATACTTACATTGCACATGTAATTATGCCAGGAACGCGTCACCTGAGGTAGTTTTTCCTTTCTTTTCCAGTTGGCTGGCGCACCTTCCCTCACTGGCTCCTAAATAATAATAAAATTCAGTGTGAGTCTTTCAGTCATCTAAAAACTAAACCGAACACATTAAAATATTAACATACCTTAGAAGCGATCATGTATGGAGGTATGAGATCTACATTCATCTCCTGAAATAGTTCCCTGCACTGCATAGTAATAAAGTCTCCCGCAAGCGGTGATTTTACAATCCCTAGTAAAGAAAAGACAAAGTGTCAAATAGACCAAAAAAGAAAGTGCCTCCCATAGACATGAACATAACATCAAACTAGAGGAGGTCGGCATTCCATATGTTGTGGATTACATCTCTCCTGATGCTTGGCCAGCATTATGGCTGTAAGAGCATTATGAGAGATGTAATACACATCTGGATTGCTGAAGGTTGCCTACCCCTGAACTAGAGCATGGGACATTACAGCGGAGCCTTTTATTATTATTTATATAGCGCCAACAAAGTCCGCGCTTTACAGTGGGTGGACGAACAAACATGTAGTTGTAACCAGACAAGTTGGACACACAGGAACAGAGGGGTTGGGGGCCCTGCTCAATGAGCTTACATGCTAGAGGGAGTGGGGTAAAATGACACAAAAAGGTAAGGATAGTATTAGACTAATGACAGTTGCAAAAGAGGAATCAGTTGGGAGCTATTAACAGTTTAATTGATATGCTTTTATGAAGAAGTGGGTTTTTAATGATTTTTTTGAAGGAGTGGAGACTGGGTGAACATCTAATGGAGGAGGGAAGTGAGTTCCACAGGAATAGTGCAGCCCTCGAGAAGTCTTTAAGGCGAGCATCATAGGTGGGAGTACGGACTGAAGATAGTGCCAATAAAAAAACTTCACTGATGGATGCGATAACTTCCAAATGTTGACAGGAATCTACACAATAAGTTAAGGCAGCACTAAAGTCAAGCTACATTTGGAGGTACACCAAACTACCTATAATTTGCAGCCATGTCGAAAGAAAGAGGAGAGATTGCGAGGAAATATTGCTTATAATATATACAAAATAAAGAGCTATTTTGACCTCTTTTTCACTGACAAACACTTCCAGTATGAAGAGGTACATTTTTCCAAATGACCAAGCAGCAGTCATCACAAATGGGTAGTTGCCCTTTCCTCTATCACAAGACGGGTAGCATTGAAAAGGTAAAAAAATAAAACTAAAACTCCAGTTCCACCGTCTCCTCCCCTGCAACCCTTATATAGGGAACTCTGCCACACGATCTGTCCATCCTGAGAAAAGGAAAACCCTGAGCTCCCCAGTGTTGGCCTGTTCTCAGGACGGACAAGTCAGGTGGCAGAGTTTTCTGCCTGTCCTTGGCAGTATAGGTTAAGCTATTCACGCTTTTGTATCTTGGACAGATGTGGTGAGGAGGCTGCGGACCCTGGAGGGCTCCATCTAGCTTTTGTGTAGGAATGTTTGGCCTGTGAGCATGTCCTTTTGTTGCAAGCGCCTGTGTTTCACGCTTTTATCACATCCACCCAATATGTGCTTGAAGAGGTACAGCTGGGAAGCTCTGTAGGTGGAATGCACTGCACTTAGATGCTGCATTCCACTGAGAGACCGCAGAGTGTTACTCACATGTACAAAGTGATCTCGGCACCATTTTTTAACACTCTGGAGCCTATTGTCAGGATATTTAAACCTAGCAGTAACGGTCTCTGGGTGCGTGTCAGATTAGTTACCAGTGTACCCTCACCAGTCATCTAGAGGCCTATTAAGATAAGACAAGTGATGTTTACCTTAATAGTCTTTTTCTTTCCTATAGGTTTAGTTTAGTCTTTCCTGATATAGAAGGCTAAAGAACAGTTGAAATTAGGTCTTTAAATGCCTTACTGGTTTGTTTCAGTAAGCTTGTTCCAAACTTTTATGCTATTTCTAAGGCTGAGTTATCCACTGAGGAAAAGTTTTACCCTGTGTAGGCTGGTCAGAGCGTTTCGGAATGGCTGACTTTCCTACAGTGCCTGTGGATGCTAATTTTATGGAACCTGTCCCCCAAGGGTGCCGCCATCCTCTTCCTGCCACTGCTCTTTAGCTGCCAGAAGCCAACATCAGCACTTTGCTCTCACACATGCGAGAGCACAGCATTGAGGTCTATGAAGGATCCTGCAAGATAATGCGTAGAAAGAGCTTAATTTCCCTGCAGTCGTCACTAGTGATGGCAGGGGGAAATGATGACCTTGACAGCGGTAGCTCCGCCTAAGGTCAATCTTTGTCAGGTTTAGGAAAAATATTGAGACAAAGTAGTCTTTGTCTCGTTATATCTTTTGACTGGGTTGGAATTTTAGTAACATTACAACACAATCAATCTGAGTATTTCAAAAGACAGGTATCTTTGAGAGGTTAAATTAAATTATAGCAAATACAGGTTTAATTCATTTCAGTTTTTTAACAAATTTTATTGAAATACTTTGTCTTACACCACAGAGGTTTGTTCGGTAGCCCAGCAATGCAAGATTAACATACGTTCTACTGGAGTTATTCTATTCTATTTGCAATAAGCTCATAAGCCATATATTGTCAGTTTCATTCTGAAATGGGCTGCTGCCACTACAGCTGTGCTCCAATTGTGCCAAACGGAATTTATTATAAGTTTTTGACTAGTCACCAGATAAGTGGCTTTACATCTGAAAGGGCTCAGATGTTATGCAGACCAGTAGTAGGTTTTATTTTATCACATGTAGTCCATAAATGCTATAAAACTGGAACCAATCAGCTTCTTTTATTAGGCTCTAGGACTAGCGCCCAAAAGAGAAGAATGTAGCCAAACATACAATATGTCCAGTAGATTTTGTGGTATATGTATTTTTTTACCCCACAGAAAAAACTAAGTATGTATAGTTTAATGCCCGTGTTCTTCCAGAATTCATTTAGTTAGCAATCCCATCAAGTGGGGATGGAATTCTTCGTGATTCAGGAGCCACAATCCAAAGGCTCCTGTATTGTGGGTTTCTCATTTGTGATGTTATGAGGACTGCTGCTTAGACATTCGTGGGAAAAACAAAAACAACAACTATATTTTACTTACAGTAAATTTCCTTTTCCACAGTCTAAGCGACAGTCATTATTTACCTCCTTTTTACCACGGATCAAAAATAAAACACGCATATCCTATTCGGTTGTAATTAACAGGGGAGCTCAGAGTGGATTTTTTTTTTTTTTTTTTAATATGCTACCACTTCTACAAGACAGCAAGGTGTGACTACCCATTTACGATGACTGCCGCTTGGACTATGGAAAATTAAAGGGTTACTCCAAACACCGTGACTACTTGAGTGATTTGAAGTGGTTATGGTGGTAGTAATATGTATGTGCAGTGTTTCTGCTTGAAACACTGCACATGAAGAGATATTAGTAATGGTGTGCTGGAGAATAGTTGCATCCCCAGCACGTGACATTGGAAGCCCATTTGTCACAGAAAAGGCACCAAAGGGTTAAAGAATCCCTTTAAGCAAACGGTAAGTAAAATTTCGTTTTTCTGAATTCTACGTGAGGAAGCTACGGATATACCAAGTCCTGGTTTTACCTTGCTGGAGAACATATCCATCATGGACAGGAATAGCTGTAGTATGTGTAGAACCGCTGTCCAATATCAGCCCAGTGGAGCGACCATTAGCAAATCTAATCCAGAAAATCAAGGAGCAAAACCAAAGTAAAGATAAAACAAGAACAATCTAGCTTATTTCACACCGACACTAGTTTGCTTGTATTTATATTTTAAAAATGACAAAGATAATTGTAGAAGAAAGGGATTCATGGTCAAGGGAAGAGACAAGAAAAGAAAATCAAATGCAAAAAGCCAAGCAATCTGTGCCTATAGCACTATGTACAGAATTAGATAGGAATATACATCTGTTCTTTAAGTCAAGGTATGTTGCATACAGAGGATTGCTTTTGCAGGGTTTGCTTAACTAAAAACAAATCTGCAATATTTCTTCCTTCAATACAGCAACTCAAAATACTGGTGAAACTAACGTTTCTTGTAAAGATTATGAACAATTTATGACATTTAACAAAAAGGATACGCAGTGAGAACCGCAGTTTTACAGAGGAAAAATGCAGGAATATTGTAATGTTCAAACATCAACTCCGCAAGCTTCTCTCTTTTGGTTCTAGTATTCCACTAAAAAGGAAACAAAATGTATTATGACAAATGAAACAAAAAACATATGCCAGTGACCCTTTCAGGACTAGGGTTCTGAACTAAATATACAAATGGTTTACATATGGTGAAGCGGATAGTCGTCACTCTTATTTGCCATAAAAGACGCATGTACAACTCTAGTTTTACAAACTCTTGAAAAGTTCCCAACTGAAAGTCTCAATGATGCCTCTCACTTTGTACTCATCACCCTCATTTTCTCCACTGCTTGGTTTTGTTTCAACTGTTATTAGTGGAATTGTAATTGTATGCACTTTGTATAAAATGTCTCTTAATGTTATATGCTCACAGTTATTTTTGTACCTTGTGGATATGTTGTATTCTCTAACTGCCTTAACACCAAATTGCTATTCTTCACAAAGGAACCCGGATAATTACTGTGTAAATATTTTATACTGCACCAACATATTCTTCACTAAATAATATACACAAATATAGGTAAACAACTGAAAATCATATTAGTCGAATTCACTGATTCTGGTGTATTAGCAACACACACACACACACACACACACACACACACACACCCGAACCTCTTTGAAAGATTCAGCCAAACTTAGATGCACACATCTCATGTGATACAAAACACACACACACCCCAAGACATTAGCACTGTGGAGGAAATTTGGAGACCAAGGCAACACCCTGAACGGTTTGTCATGTTAGTCAAACCATTCCTGAAGAGCTTTTTGCAGTGTGCATTAACCGGCTGAAATGGAACACCATTGCCAAGATGAGGTGTAAGTGGCACGTGTCAGGACCCAAGGTTTCCCAGTCGAAAAATGCCAACAGCATAACACAGCCTCCGCCACCCTGCCTTCTTCCCAAAGTTCATCATGCTGCCATCTCTTTCCCAGTCACACACACCCAGCTACCCATCCAATATAGAAAACAAAAAAACTAAACAAAACGTAATACATCAGACCAGGCAACCTTCTTCTATTGCTCCATGGACCAGAACTGATGTGCACGTCACCACTGAAAGTGCTTTCAGCATTGGGCAGGGGTCTTCCGGATATCCACTAGAGGAGCTTCCTCAATTCACACGGAGATTAACTTCTTGAAACTACACTGGATGTCCTTGCACTTTTAATGAGGATGTCAGTGTCCTCAAAATCCCCTTAGGAAACCATTGAGTCAATGATTTCCTAAAGGGAAGGCCTAATGTGTATGATGCCGCACACGTGCATGGGGTTCCTGGTCCACCTTTACGTCAGATGAGTCGGAGAGTGATCAAGTGCCAAGGGACCTTGGTGCTGGAATAGGGTAAGGGTAAATTTTTCAAATTTTTTTTTTTTTTTTTAAACGTATTTGCTTATGGGGAAACACGGGTACAGAGGAAAAGTAGTGTTAGAAATACCCTTTTGTATTCCTAATTCTAACGCCATAGTGTACCTTTAAGACGTGCTCTACAGTTTTTACTAGGGCTCGTGTATCTTGGCAAAGTTTAACAGCCTATTAATGTTTCCCTAAAAAGGTGTACGTTTGAAAAGTTCACATATGTACAAAACACAGATGAATACTTCAAATAACCAGAAAAAAAAAAAAAACCCCACAAGACATGCAAAAAACTAAATCCTGAAACCAGAAAGAGTTTAATTCCGAAACCCTCACCACTAAACTTGATTAAAAATGTTGGTATCCTCATAGATCTACCCCAACCCATAATTGGGGGGGAAAAACATGCAGTGGAAACAAAACTTACTGCTGCTTCTGACATCAGCACTGGATGTAAACTTGCTTCAGATTTGATATGCATTTTGTAAGTGTGGTCCAGTATGGCTTGAAAACTGTCCCAATCCTCAACTGTAAAAGTACAAATTGTTAACCATTATAAGATTTCAAATCAACTACCTGGGTATTAACAAATGAAAAGGTTAAACTAAGGAGCAACTTTTACAGCCACCTATAGGGCCCACAAAAATGGGTCATGCATGTTTTTAGAATATGGGATGGTGTGTTCACAATTCTGGGGTTAGCACATGGCACAGGCAGCCCCCCTATCTTTTCTAGGATGTCTTGTTGATTGAAGAGCAAGCAACTTCAGTAAATGAAAAAACTAGACAACTACTCACTCATTCCATTTTTGAGTGGTGAAAAAGCCTCCATATTTTCCCTTGGGACCCTGAGTGTGTTGGTATCTATGTAATATGTTGGGCCTCTTGATTTGCTTTGATCTCCATCCGTTTCCATAGGTGTGCTTCCATCTTCCCGGTCGACAAGCATTCCAATTGTCGTAGGAAAATCAACCTGCAAGATCAAGCTCTCTTTTACTTAATGTATTCTGCTAGGTCACAAATGCATCATATACAGACAGAATAGACAGATTTACATACACATCCAGGATTATTCACTAAGAGCGAATGGTCAGATAGTTAAACTGAAAACATAGTTTGACTTGGAATGGTTTTCCAATTTAGCTAGTAAATGCCAATAAAAATGTAAGGAAAACACTAATTGTTATAAGGTCACCAATGAATAGTTAACACCATAATGCTAAAAATTGTCTTGGGGTGAATTTCTCTCAAGCTGGTTGGCTGGCTTCTGTCTCGTTTGAAAGAGACACGAGAAAAGATGTGCACACGATGGTTAAATTCTATACACCGCTCCCTCGGGGATCACGCTGTAGTTATGCCACACATTGGCACAAGATGGTAGGCAGGATGCCCAGAGTATTTATAAAAATTAACGATAAGGGCAGGTAAAGTGCCGGTGTTGGGCCTGTCATGGCCTTCAGATTGCTGGCCCCTGCAAGTATGTGTATTTTGCATTTCTTGCCTTTTTACAGTGGAAGTTTTCAGGTTTTAAATTCTCAACGATTCACTCTATTTAACTGTACGTGTCACGATTATTCACCAAAGTTTGAATTGCCATGAACTTAAAGTACAGGCAACCAATTATAATTTAAAAAAAAAAAAATCTTAATAAGATGCCCCCAAGTTCTGCATAACTGTTCTCCATTGGCATATGTATACTAGATTTTGGTTTTCTTGCATAAATAATGCTTATCTAGAAAATGTAATTGCACTGGTGAAAAAGCAACTTGGGTGCACATATCTTGCATTCGCTGCAGATGGGAACTTTCCAGCTAAGCTGATGCTCCCCTTTGCTGCACACTATGCAGTTCCAAGTTCATGCTGGGTAGTGACCAATCAAATGCTTTTCACAGAGAATCATGCTGATTAATCAATCCAGTGGTTTTCCCAGTATGGAGGAGGATTGTGTGTAAGCCAGTGGCCATAGCACAGGAGGCCTACATCAGTATTCGCTCACAGATCCTGGGAGTGTAAGACTGCATGTGCGTGTGATGAAAGCTAAAAATGCACAAGTTCTTAATAACTGATCAGGAACTCTTATTCTGAGCTGACTGATGCCAGCTGCCGGAAAGAAATATTAATTTATCTGCATTGGAAACACAGTCCTTGCCCCTATGACCACTTTAGAAAGCAGAAACTGGTCTAAAACACATTTTTACATTCATACCTTTGGACAGTCCTCTCCAGCATATCCAGCACGAACGGAGTATGAGCCAATGTCAAATACCAAGGCTCCCACCTCATCTACATTAAAAAGGCAGAGAAATTAAGATTCATTATATAAAAAATTAATTACGGAAACATACATATATCTAATAAATTAAGTATGCCTGTTATCCTTAATGTGAACCATAAGTTTAAGTACATGCAGTGATAATCGTAAAATATTTGTTACTGCCAGCAAACAGCTCAAATTTTATTTTGCCATATTTCCTTTGTACGTCCCACCCCCCACCATATATATTGCCCAATGTTGGAGAACATTATAGTTACAAATTAGAACTGCAATTTTATCTATTTAGATTAGAATGCTGGTCTGCATCAGTTTTTTTTTTTACATCAAAGCCGCTCAGAAACTACAATTATGCCTCAAAAGGACACATTGTGTTGTGGTTATGGTATTAGAAATTCCAGGGCTCAGTATAATGGTTATCTGCCAAACCATTTCGAAAAAAAAATTTATTTTGTGGACATAGTGATACCCCCTATGTACACTGTTGCCAGGTTTTGTGATGCACCAGGTCAAAACTAGTGACATTTTAAATTTTATGAAACTTGGCATATTGATGATTACTCTCTGATACTTTATAGGGCATTTTAAAAGCTCACTGTATTAAATAACACAAAAAAGCATACCATTTGCACAAGAAGAAACCTAAGAGTAACTTATGTATTTTAATCTCGTTCTATGGGCATTTTTAGTAATGGGTATTGTATTTACATTGAGTAAACAGAGCCTGTAATCCCACTGTAATGGCTTTGGACATCTACATGGGGGTACTAAGGATTAGGGATTGTTAAGGGCTGCTGAGGCATTATAGACGCCCATCTTAAAAATGCTGTGGAAGGCAACGCTGGTCAATCTCAACCTGGTTTTGACCAATTATGACCTGTTGAAGCTCAAGTCCACAGCACATTAAAATCAACTATGCTCTAATGCTTAAAGGATCACTATAGGGTCAGGAACACAAACATGTAATCCTGACCTTACAGTGTTAAAACCACCATCTAGCCCCCCTAGGCCCCTCATGCCTCCATAAATATAGCAAAATCTTACTGTATTCAAGCCTGAAGCTGTAGATCTGCATGCTGTTTGTCTAAGAAAAACAAGCTGTCTGCTGATATCATCAGAAGTGGTGGCCTGACCCAATAATAATGCTTCCCCATAGGATTGGCTGAGATTGACAAGGAGGCAGATCAGGGGCAGAGCCAGCATGATTCAAACACAGCCCTGGCCAATCAGCATCTCCTCATAGAGATGAATTGAATCAATGAATCTCTATGAGGAAAGTTCAGTGTCTGCATGCAGAGGGAGGAGATACTGAATGTTTGGATGCATTTTAGGCAGCCATGACCCAGGAAGGATCTCTAACAGCTATCTGAGGAGTGGCCAGTGAAGTTATCACTAGGCTGTAATGTAAACACTGCATTTTCTCTGAAAGGACAGTGTTTACAGCAAAAAGCCTAAAGGGAATTATTCTACTCACCAGAACAAATTCAATAAGCTGTAGTTGTTCTGGTAACTATAGTGTCCCTTTAACCCTAAACAAAACCCAACACTAAATTAACCATAGCTTTCTGTGATAGACAGATTCTCCCAGCTGATGACAAACTGCATTGTGCAATGATGGCCGCAAAAGAGGGCAGATCTTCCGCTTTGCTGCTAAATCATATTGTGACATCACGATCGGCAAAAGGCTGCTTGCAGAACTCCCGCACATTGGAGAACACACAGTGATATCAATGGACAGACATTGAGCATGGAATTTAATTGGAAGTCAGTTTATTTATCATCTTGAGGCCACTAATTATGCTCCCCCTGACAGAGAGGAGAACCAAGTATAAACAGCTGATTAATGCCAGCAACACAATAGAATTATGTTATTTGAGTATCACGATGCAGTGGCCCTGTTTTGCTTGGTTCCTGCAATTGAAAACATTGCTTCTTTGGAAATATGGTGATGTTTACATTGCAAGGCTCAACACGCTTCTAGTGGTTGTCTTCCTGACAGCCACTAGATGGTGCTTCTATTGTGAGAACAGAATCAGAATCTGTTCTGTGACATTGTAATCTTCTCATGCATTACAGTAGCATTGGATTTAAATCACCTCATAGGAAGTATTTGATTGGAGGAATGTGAATTGGACAAGACATTGGGAGACAAGTACAGTTTTGTTTTTTTGCAAACAAGAGTAAAATGCACACTAAAAAAAAGGGGGGGGATGGGGAGAGATACTTTCTGAAGGGAACTCCAGAAAGGGAGGGCCAATCCCTGAAGACAGCAAATGAAAAAAAAGAAAAAAAAAAAATCTAAGCACATCTCAGAGTCCAGCGTCAAATAAGATCCCCACAGGAAAGCATTGAGTAATGCTTTCCTGTGGACGGGATTGAATGCGCGCGCACCTCTGGCAGCGCATGCGGATTCGGCTCCATTTGGGGAGGAGAAGTCACCAGCGTCGTGGGAGCCCGGTGCTGGATTAAGGCAAGTGGCTTAAGGGGTTTTCCCTTCAGCACCAAGGGAGAAGGGCACGCCACAAGCCTACAATGCCAGGAAAACAGGTTTGTTTTCCTGGCACTATAGCAGGGATTGACAAGTTTGTTTGGAATCTAGGAGCCAGCAATTTTCCACGAGAAAATGCAATTCTTAAAGGGACACTATAGTCACCAGAACCACTACAGCTTGATGTAGTTGTTCTGGTGTCTACAGCCTGTCCCTGCAGGCATTTTAATGCAAACACTTCCTTTTCCGTGAAAAGGCAGAATTTACATTGCTGCTTAGCAACACCTAGTGACAGTCACTCAGACTGTCACTAGAGAGTCCTGGGTCACTGCTGCACCACATGCAGCACTCAGGTTCAGTATCTCCAAGCTCTGCATAGAGGTGCTGAATGTTCCTCATAGAGATTCATTAATTTAATGCATCTCTATGAGGAGATGCGGATTGGTACATTTGCTGTGCATGCACAAAATCCTCCCAATGCTTTCCTAAGGGAAAGCATTGGCTTAGCTGAGATCATAGAGATTGATAATCTCAGCCATGGGGAAACTGGCACGGCGTGAGAAAATGGGGAAAAAAGGTGAGTAAAAACTATCGGAGGGGGCAGGTACCTAAATGCGTACACAAACACTGACAGGCTCACATACACACTTACGCTGACAACAGTCTTGCACGCATAAACACACAGTCTCTTGACAGGCTCACACACACTCTTACGCCGACAGGCTCTCTCACACAAACACACACCGACAGGCTCTCTCACACAAACACACACCGACAGGCTCTCTCACACAAACACACACCGACAGGCTCTCTCACACAAACACACACTGACAGGCTCTCTCACACAAACACACACTGACAGGCTCTCTCACACAAACACACACTGACAGGCTCTCCCACACACACACACACACAGGCCTTCCTACACAAACACACACCCACAGGCTCTCACACAAACACACACCGACAGGCTTCACACAAACACACACACCGACAGGCTCTCTCACACAAACACACGCCGACAGGCTCTCTCACACAAACACACACCCACAGGCTCTCACACAAACACACACCGACAGGCTCTCTCACACAAACACACACCGACAGGCTCTCCTCACACAAACACACACGACAGGACAGGCTCTCTCACACAAACACACACCGACAGGCTCTCTCACACAAACACACACCGACAGGCTCTCTCACACAAACACACACCGACAGGCTCTCTCACACAAACACACACCGACAGGCTCTCTCACACAAACACACACCGACAGGCTCTCTCACACAAACACACACCGACAGGCTCTCTCACACAAACACACACTGACAGGCTCTCTCACACAAACACACACTGACAGGCTCTCTCACACAAACACACACTGACAGGCTCTCACACACACACACACACATTTTGTTTTAATTGAAACACACTCAGCCTCCCTGCCTTTGGGGTCCAGTGGGTCTGCACTCTTCCTGTGTGCGAAGGAGCAGTACTCTGCCTGTAGCTCCTCTCTGCTCCCTCGCGTTCTGTAATGATGCCGGGGCCGGAGTGACATCATTACACACTGCGAGGAAGCAGAGAGCAGCTGTAGAGTACTGCTCCCTCGCGCGCCACCCACAAAGCTCCCGCGGGCGCCTACCTCCATGCTCCCATGTGCAGCTGCCTGCAATATTCCCTGTGACGGCCGCGGTCAAATCTCCCTCGGCGGCCAGATGCCAGGGCAAAATTTTTAGTCGCCATGGCGACCTGCCGCCTGGGATTTGTCAAGTCCTGAACTATAGGTATCCCTTTAATGACACACAAGTCTATCAAGCTATTATCAGTGCTGGAAATAAAATTCTACATTAAACAGACTGTGCACTAAAGGAAGTGTAAACATTAGATCTCAATTTCCAGGAGTTTTTTTGGAAAGGCTAAGGGCATAAACAGTGATTTAAAGGGACACTGCTAATTGAAGTAGTCTGGGTGCTGTGACCCTTTTGCAGCTAGTGCTGCAATGTAAAACATTGCAGTTCCAGAGAACTGCAATGTTTACATTGCAGCTCTACGTCTGCCTTCTGTGGCTGTCTACCAGACAGCCACTAGAGGGCTGCCAGAATGCAAACGTACTTTTGGTCCGTTATCCGACACTGGACGTCCTCACGGACCTCTAGCGTCAGATTTTCCGCGCATTTTTCTGGAGGCTTGTATTTCAGAATTCAGCATTACTTTCATTTTTTGTGTGTGTTTGCAAAAGCTATAAAGGATCGAGCATGTAAAAATGTAACCTATTAAAGGACCACTATAGTGCCAGGGAGACAGCCACTAGAGGCTGGATTAACCCTCATTAACCCTCACAGTGTAAACATAGCAGTTTCTATGTTTACAGCAGGCAGAGTTAAAACTAGAGGGACCTGGCACCCAGACCACTTCATTGAGCTGAAGTGGTCAGAGTGCCTATAGCGGTCCTTTAACAAGGTCCAAACCAATCAAATGCATTTAAATTGTACTGGCGCTCAGAGTGCCCTTTTAACCTTTTCTGACAGGCAATCAAATTATGAACTGGACATCAGCTTGGTAACCAAATCTTAAATTATAAAAAAAATAAAAAATTATATATATATATATAACACATTACATGCTAAACAAAACTCCATTAAATTGGTGTTGGGGGGGGGGGGTGTTCAACTTTGGATCTCCACCCCAGTGTTTAAGAACCACTTACCTATACTGTATAAAAACTTACTTTGAACCCTGTTATATTGCTCCCCCTGCTTCCACAATAATGACTGTCATTGTTCATGGAATGCAGTGTGGCCTTGCAAATAGCTCTGATTTCTGGCAATATCCCCTTTAACAGAGTGTATGTTCCTGCAGGAATGCAGTGCCTGGAATGGCAGTGGGTCCCAGTAGGCAGAGCCCATTCAGGAGCAGCACTGCACAGCCAGCCAGTGTTACTGTGACGGTCATGGCACGGCACTGGTGTTACTCTAGGGATACAATGTAACAATGTTGCCGGGGAGAGTAAAGATGGCCTCTCAGGCTCCAGCCAGTGCTCCATAGAGAGCTTCCAGCGCGCTTCTCGCTCTATCGCTCAGCTTACCTCCGCCGTACACGCCTCCGCTCATCTCCAGTCTGCTGGTTAACGCGCCGCGATACCGGGGCAGTCACAGTGCGGGAGCCGGGAGCAGCACGCAACGCGCCAACAATGGCAAAGCACGCTCGGCGAGATTGAACCACGGCGCTTGCCGTCACTGAATGCGCGCACCAATCAGAGCACGGAACAATTTACGGCTCCGCCTTCCTCGCTCGCGCTACGTGGGGGGCGGGCCTTGCTTTCCGTGGCATCACGTGTTCGCGCGCCTGCGCAGCAACTGCGTAAAACGGTCGGAATCCGCCATGTTGGGACTCGCGTATGGGGTGTTGGGTGTCGTTGGTTCACTTCGTCATTCATCATGGCCCGTTGGAAAACAAACTCGTTATAGGTTGCAAACGCGTGTAAACTGTCTACCTCGTTGCTGCGTTTAGTAAGACTGCGATAGTGGTGGGTGTACAAGTATGGCCGCCGGGCACTCTATGGTGTAAATAACAGAAAAGCTTTTGGAGGTCGATTTATTGAACTCTGACTTTGAGCGACTAGTAAAATAAAGGCAGTGATTGCAAAGTTCGATGTATGCTGATAATGGACGCCTTTAATGCACAATTATACGGGAGATACTCTTATATTGAGATGATTAAAGGGACACTATAGTCACCCAGATCACCTTTCTCTGAAGCTGCTATGTTTATTAAAAAAAAAGGTTAATCCTAGAGGGACCTGGCACCCAGACCACTTCATTAAGCTGAAGTGGCCTGGGTGCCTAGAGTGGTCCTTTAATAACCTCGTGGGAAGTTGCTGACAGTGAGCTAAGTCACAGTGGAAACTCCCCATAGGCTTACCTACCCTATGTAACAATAGCACACTGTTACCCCCCCCCCCCCGAGCTCAGGGAGCACTAAACACAACATGCATTGACACATACCAATACTAGAAATCTTTAACACTACACAAGCGCGACATACTCTGCATAACTTAAACTGTCAGTTATTGCTATTAATCTAATCACTTACTTTAACCTGCATGATTCAAAGGGGAAATACCGTATTTATCGGCGTATAACACGCACCTCATTTTAAGAAGGAAATTTCATGGAAAAAAAACTTAAAGGACCACTATAGTGCCAGGAAAACATACTCGTTTTCCTGGCACTATAGTGCCCTGAGGGTGCCCCCACCCTCAGGGACCCCCTCCCGCCGGGCTCTGGAGAGAGGAAGGGACCCCCTCCCGCCGGGCTCTGGAGCGCGGAACAGGAGTTTCTGTTTCCTGTACCCGGTCGGACTGACAGGAAGGTGCACACTGAGCGTGCACCTTCCTATCACTCCGGCCGGCCACCGCGGACAGCAGAGCAGCTCGGCCACGCTACAGGGAGGTGAGTACCAACTGCAGCCGCCTGACCGCTCTTGACAGAGCGCTCAGGCGGCTGCAGTATTTAAAGGGCCGGCGTATAACACGCACCCACAATTTCTCCCCTATTTTCAGGGAGAAAAAGTGCGTGTTATACGCTGATAAATACGGTAAGTGGGCACAGTACATCTCTCATCTGCACTATCTCTGACTCCATGATCGTGAACTGCGGTCTCTCTAACTGATTTACGGTTTACTTCCATAGGCATCTGTGTGGGCAGTACTCCTTGTTTCTAATTTTTATTTATTTCTTTCCTTTTCCTACAAAATCTACCATGAATGCCAGTTTGCACAATTTCTTACTACTAAACATATTTAAGCATCCTCTGGCATCATTATGGCACAGTAAAAATAAAGAATAAAAAAAAAAAAACCAAGGCGCATGTATAAAAGAGAAAAAAAAATCATGGCACAATAAATGTATAAACAGTAAATAAACATTATATGGCTTAACCCCTTCAGGACGGAGTCAATAGTACACGTTCTGATCAAAACAAAACGTAAAAAAAAACTGGAATTTGCGCTATATGTCTGTTCAACCGTAATTCACCGCTGTCACATTAAGTGCACCCACACTTGTTATATATCATTTTGTTCAGGAGAAACAGGGCTTTAATTTATCATTAACTATTCATATATGGAACATAATTTATTATGAATAAAATTAAAAAAAATGTGAGAAAATAATATATTTTTTTAAAATTTGTATTTCTGTCTGACATTTTAGCTGTTAATGTCATAATACTGTTAGGTTTTACTGCAAAAAAATGCACATATTTGTAATCAGCGATGTCTCATGAGTACAACAGTACCCCCCATTAACAGGTTTTATGGTGTTTTGGAAAGTTACAGGTTCAAATATAGAATGTTCCATTTTCAAATTGAAATTTGCCAGATTAGTAATGTTACCTTTGAGACGGTGTGGTAGCCCAGGAATGAGAATTACCCCCATAATGGCACACTATTTGAAAAAGTAGACAACCCAAGGTATTGAAAGTGGGGTATGTTTAGTATTTTTTAGTAGCCACTTAGTCACAAACACTGGCCAAAGTTAGCATTCATATTTGTTTTTGTGTGAAAAAAGCAAAAAACTAGTATTTGGCCAGTGTTTGTGACTAAGTGGCTACTAAGAAAGACTGGACATACCCCACTTGCAATGCCTTGGGTTGTCTACTTTTGCAAATGGTATGCCATCATGAGGGTAATTCTCATTCCTGGGCTACCATACGCTCTCAAAGGCAACATAACTAACCTGGCAAATTTCAATGTCAAAAAAATGAAATGCAAGCCTTATATGTGACTCTCTAACTTTATAAAACACCATAAAACCTGTACATGGGGGGTACTGTTATTCTCGGGAGACTTTACTAAACACAAATATTAGTGTTTTAAAACAGTAAAACATATTACAACAATAATATAGTCCATAAAAGTGCTGTTTGTTTGCCAAAAATGCAAAAAACTTCACTTTTACTTAAAATATCATAGTTGTAATACAATTTATCATTTTGAAACACTAATATTTGAGTTCAGCGAAGTCTCCCGAGTAAAACAGTATCCCCTATGTACAGGTTTTATGGTGTCTTGGAGAGTTAAAGGGTCAAATATAGTGCTTGCGAATTAAATTCTGTGCACTTTCTCCCTGTGTTGTCAGGCATGTCAATCAAATTTTAATTAATCAAATAACATAATTATGTTAAAAGATTACTTCAATATACATGTAGAATTTTAATATATATGCATTTATAGGTATTTAAATTCTACGTGTATACTCAAGTAATCTTTTATGTAATTATATGTATATATCTATATATATATCTATATATATATATATATATATTTGCGGTTATTTGTATTTTATATATAGATAGATATATATAGAATGTCATTCTAAGTGTATTTTGTTACCAATATATATATTAATAACAAAATACAGTTAGAATGAAATTACTTATGAATATATAATTTATATAAAATTTTGTTTCAATATTTTATTTATTTATTTATTTATTATTGTAATTATATGTATATATATATAATATATGTGTATATATCTATTATATATATAATATATATACATATTATATATGTAACGTCATTCTAAGTGTATTTTAATACTAATATATGTACTTATGTTAATATTAAAATACACTTTGTATGATGTTACATATATATAATATGTATATATATATATATATATATATATATATATATATAATAGATATACATATAGTATATATATAAAAATACTTTTAATTAATTTTACACATGTTTAATTTTTTTTTTTTTTACTTTCCCACCAGCAGGGGGACTGTCTGACATTTCAGACAGTCCCCCTACTGGCAGATCCACAACCAGCTATAGGGGGCCATGTGATCGCTCTTTGAGAGCGATCACATGGCCCCCGGGGGCCTCATTGCCGGGGCAGGGCTGCCTGGGCTGTCAGGCAGCACTCCAGAAGAGGATCGCGGTGGAGGTAAGTACGCCGGACCTCCAGGGGCTGCAAGCCATTACGGTGTTCTATGCCGCCGCAATGGCTTTAAAGCCCACTTTATGCGGGACGGCATAGAACGCCATAACGGCGTTAAGGGGTTAAAAACACAAACAACAATAAACGAATCTAGGAAGATAAATGCAAGACGCGCTGTACCAAAACATGGGTCAAAAGTGCATGAGGCTCACAGTGGTATCCCAGTCTCTTGTATCCCATTAGGCAACCTCAATGCTGGATTCCTCTAACTAGATTAAGGGATATCCTCTGGATCCCAGCTGCTTTGTCTTGCCTGCTCAACACGTTTCATCCTGCAGCAAGCAGGAGCTTATGAACTGATGGAATTTTTTTTTTTTACCTTTGATACATCCATGTTTAGGCAATAGTCCTCTTCTTGTTTTATACTTTACAAACTGGCTTCTTTAACAATTTTAGGATGTTTCTACTATTTTTTTCCAGTAAACTAAGTTTTGGCTCCGTGGCAATGATCTTACATAATGTTTGTGTTGTGTGATTTCATTCAGTATTCCCAGCGTTGTACAGAGATAAGGGAAAGCAGAAACTTCTTAGTTTGTTGCATAAGTCCATAGCAGCAGGAGACAAGGGTCTCTAGGACCCTGTGATGATTCACAGCCTTACAATGCTTTTCAAAGTTTTTTTCGGCTTTTTCAGTTAGTTTGAAATTCAGTTCTGAGTCCCTAGAGCATCTTATAAACTCTCTAAAGGGACACTATAGTCACCAAAACAACTTTAGCTGAATTGTGTTTCATGTGTAGATCATGGCCCTACAATTTGTCTGCCATTTAGTAGTTAAACCACTTTGTTTATACAGCCCTAGTCACACCTCCCTCCATGTGACTTGCACGGCCTAATGTTTACACTTCCTTTTTTCCAAATTCTGTTTAACCCCTTAAGGACGGAGCCAAATGTACACATTGTGAACAAAACAAAATGTAAACAAAACCTGGCATTTGCGCTACATGTCTGTCCAACCGTAATACACCTCTTTCATAGTAAATGCACCCACCCTTATTATATATCATTTTATTCAGGGGAAGCAGGGCTTTCATTTAATATCAAATATTTAGCTATGAAACATAATTTAATATGAAAAAAATGGGAGAAAATACGTTTTTTTTGGATTTTTTTAGTTCTACATGACATTTTAACGGTCAGTGTCATAATACTGTTTGCTTTTACTGCAATAAAATACACATATTTATATTCAGTAAAGTCTCACGTGTAAGACAGTACCACCTATGTACAGGTTTTATGGCATTTTGGGAAGTTACAGGGTCAAATATAGCACGTTACATTTGAAATTGAAATTCG